AATAATATATATTTATAATAATTTAATTAATAACTTTATTAATAGCTATTAAAAGTATAAAAAACTATTTTAAATTTTAATCTTTTATTATTAACGTAAAAAAAATTCTTATATAAAAAAAAACTATAAAAAAAATGCTACTTCTAAGCAGAAGGATTGCTTTCTAGCCACTGGCCAGGGACCTCTAACTGTAACAGGATTATGAGGATAACTGGCCATTCCCAGACCTGTCAGTTAAAGCTATGTTCGGCCTGTACGACTTGAACTTGTTGTGGGCGGACACTGGCAGGCACCCCAGGTTAGACAATCATCATGCGATTGTTCTCTGTTCACAAAGCCAAAAGACTTAATGGTCAGGGTGCCACTGTCACTGCTCTGCTTTGAAGCTGCCCCTCCCTTCATTCCTGGACAATATGAGGATCATGGAATGGCATTACTACACAGAAGCCATCTTGACAATTCACCCATCCGGGGATTTCGAAAATTTTGGGGTCCCACTAAGTATCACAAATGCAAATTCTGCTTGGACTGGCTGTTGGACCATCGCGCAACTGTGTTACAGTGTCGAACTCATCCGTACTGAGGCAAAGAGTAACCTTGTAGATGGACCTTTAAACTAAAATCGTATTTATTCTTGGCTATTGACCCTCTAAATCTTTTCATAACTTGCTGTTAACAAATGCCAAAGCCTCCTTTCCATAAATGCTGACGTATTGCTGGTGGTGGTTGGAGTCGTTTCCGTTACAGCAGAAGGGGTCCTGAGAGTCACAGTAGATCTGGACCTTGTCTGCGTTGGGGCAGGTGAAGCCTGCGGGTCGAGCATCAAACTGCATGCTGTTAGCAGTGTCATATTAAGACCCGTGATATGACTTACGCCACCGGCTGTGCAGGTGCCAACTCCATAAGATAGGCCGCTGACGAATCGAGGGTCTCCGAGCATGATAACAGCCTTGACCTGTTCGACTGCACTGGCAGAGAGAGGGACGGATGAATCAGAGATACCAGCTCCAGAGTCGGGGCCACCGCAGATGTTGTTGTCCATGATTTGGCCGCCCTGCCACTACCATTAGTTACCAGTAATATCAGTTGATCAAGTGAAGGCTCTTACCTGAGAGTAACCAACCAGGACAATCTTTGTCTGAGGGCAGCGCTGGTTGAGGCCGTTCACAGCAGTAGTGACAGCCTGTGTACCCTGCTTTGCAGAGTCGCCGTACTGAACACCGCCACATGAAGCCTGGCCACCACAAGCAGGGTAGTCAATAGCCTCTGAGGTCGCTCCAGGGTGATCAGCTTTGATCATATCGACCAATTGACCAGCCGAGCCGAACCCCGGCGAGACTGAAGTTTCGCGGGCGCCGAAAATGTGAATGTCAGGACATGACTGAGCCTTGATAGCCAAAATGTTGGCGAGGATAAGAAGAGTGGAGTCAAGAGAAGCACGCATTTTGAATGACTTGTATGTACTGGGGGGCAATTATGTTTCCAGATAAAATCGAGGTAATTCCTCTACTATTTAAACACGGGAAATGAACAAGGATCTCACAACGCATGAATATTTCAAGAGCGAATCGACGGACATACAAACGATTCCCCGCTGTTGTTTCAACCTGATTGGCAGGTTTCACCTGACAAGGATGAGGTATTGGTGGGTAATTAAGATTGAATGGGTCTAAATCTGTCTGAAACATGTTTTGTAGCAGTTTGCATAACATTTTATAACAGCTGAAGCTGGGCTTGAATAATATTCGTTTTAACGTTACAGTTTCAGGAACCGATCGAGCCGACGGCCCGATGAACAGGCTTTTTGCAAAACCTGCGAGCACTATCTACCCTTAGCCCGTCCTTTCGCGAAGGATCACGTGTGAATGGAGTCTTATTTAGCTGCCTGCGCTATCTAGGGTTACCACCCTTCACAATTGATCTGATCTACTGTATAACCTTATTTCTATCGTTCTTCTCGGCTCGAGATAGAGGTGTCTCGCCATCTTTATCCTTGTTTTATGGCCAACCGCTATACTTGACTAGGATACGAACAGCCGTCCCATTGTAAGTCAGCAGCACAAGATAGCGGATTTCTTCATCTCTTTATAGGCTTTCTCGTTTTCGTAAATGTTCGCGGCCCCCAAACCGTCTAAGCGTGGTTCTATTAGGATACGATTCTCTTCTTGACCGACTATGTTTTCGTTACATAAATAAACTGGTCCAAGCCCCTAATCCTAATCTATCCAAAATACCTACTGCCGTGATAAGGTATAGACTTAAACGTCATAATGATGATAGCCTCTACTAACTCAAGCAACACAATTCCTAGCTTCACATACTATTGATACGAACATCAGTACTAAATTACCTATTGAGTAATAGTCACGGTTCATCACTTACCAGCATAATTGTATACGAAGCCTCTGCACTAAACGCCAGCCACTTTATCCAATAAATTGGCCGGTCACGATACCTGCCCCCCACCATGTAGGTATGGTCATCTCCGGAGCCTCTATTGAGCGAAAGCTCGATCTTGGCGATACTACCATTCTCTATGTAGGAAGGTGGTGTGTAACCATACGTATCCAACTCTTTCCTATCTCGCCAAGTGCCAGTTTCGAGAAATAGCTCTATGATACTTTCATCACCATACTGCACAGCATAATGAAGAGGCGTCTCCCCCAGTATATTTTTCTGGTCTGGCAGGGCGCCATTGTCCAGAAGACTTCTCACAATAGCCGCGTGACCAGATCTTGCTGCAATAGTAAGCGGTGTGTTGCCCCAAAAGTCTACTACCTCCAAGTCGACTTTGACGCAAACTTCAACTTCCCTCGTTAGAACACCTCTCAAAGCTCCGATCCATCCATTCTGTGATATTATGTGTAGCATTTTTGTTTCTACGGGGTCATCTGACGAATGTGGGACCCGAAGCCCAAATTTCAGAGGTATTGGACCCAAGCGGCCCAGAGACGCATCCGAGGGCCAACGGAATGACTCCTGAAGACTTTCCGGAATGTGATTTGCATGAAATATCCACAAGCGTTTCGCATATGATAGAAAGGGGAATTTTGACTCCCATTTGTGTTTTCCCCATTGATCTTCATTGGCTGTCAGGTGAGCGTGTAGCATTTCTAGGTAGCAAACACAGATCTGAGCCAACCGATTGTGTGCCGATATGGCTGTTTGTTCTGCACCAATGCTTCGATGAAGAGATGCCAGTCCCTTCTCAACAAAAAAGTCCTTTACAGACTGGTGAATGAATTGAGCGACTCCTTCAGTGGGTTTATACTCGATAAGTCCGCGTCCGAGCGTTGTAGTTCTCCATGCCATTGCCGCGGCGTGGGACCGAAATTCCTCCTCATTTTCGAACTGTAGTAACGATTCAAACTCCTGGCGAGCTAGGGATACAGCCGAATATAACTCAAGCAGAGTCAAAGGCCTTGCGGAAAAGCAAATGATTTCGATAAGGTCGATGGAATCCAGCTCAACTGCGTCGATGATTTCACTATAGAGTTTCTCCAAGGTTTGAGGGATCTGGCGGACTTCAGACTCGATCTTTGGGATACCTATCTGCTCTTGATAGAGGCTCAACACCCTGGTCACAACAAGACTCGCCCATAGAAATACGCCTTCGGCGTGCTTCGAGACATAGTCAGCAATCTCAGACCCTGTCTGTTCCTGGAATGAACTCAGTTTATTCTCAACGAAGGTGGATATGTCTTTCGCGTTCTCTGTGTCAATGCATATCTCAAGTGAACACTTGAGGTTGAGGATAGGATAGTGACGACAGGTAAAGCAGATCCGAAAATGTTTTAGGCGGTCCGATAAGGGTCTGTGAAGCAGAGAATTGAACTCGTCAGCCAATTCCTCCGCGCTCTTTTGACCGCCTTCGTCTAGAGCGTCAACGAATAATATTATAGGGTGAGTTTCCAAAGTCCTCCAAACTGCGGTCCGGGTGTAGTGGCGGAGCTCAGATGTATTCCACTCCCAACGCTTGTCAGACGTGTCCGGTGGAATGTATCTTTGCCTGAATGTAATTTCCATGGCCTCCAGTGCCTCAGGAATCTTGCTTTGTAACTGGCAGAGGAGCGAGCGATAGAGGCCATCTGGCGTTCTTTGGAGTTCGGTACCACGGCCATTGAAAAAGAAGGAAAGGACCAGAGGCGTCTCTTTCCGGCTTTTCGATGATATGGTATTGTCAAGAACATATCGCAACAGCGTCGACTTCCCAGAACCAGGCTTCCCTTTAATTCACAACAGAGATCGGTCGCAGGACTCCCATTTCTGATAAGTTTTGTGTTGGAAAATCCAATGGCATGTACCGGCGGCTTCAGTCTTGATCTCTGTAGGCCGAGCATTCATTTCTTTGAAGAAAAGCGATCTCAGGAGGAGCTCCGAGAGACTCAGCTCTCTAGGCGGTCCGGAGTGGACTACATGGCGATGGATCAGTAACACGAAACAGAAGTATATTTATAATCCCCAAGCCATACCATACTGTGTGACTGGGGGCAAAGTAGGCAGTGCCGGAACCGCTGTTTTCGTTATGATTACCGGAGTACTTATCCTCAGCGACATTGTCTCCAGATCCATAATGTGTCTGGCTGATAGCTTCCTCCTCTGGGATTGGGGTTTCCATGCTAGACATGACCCGAATGGCCTCGGAGAGCTTCGCAACTTGTGCCTCAGTGGCTGCTTGGGCCGCATGGTTCTGTACCACGATTCTCACATCTTCCATCATCCCTTGCGACAAGACCTCTACACGATGTCAATTGCCAAGAGACCGCACCAGCAAGGCATAACGCCTGAAGCTGGATGTATCTTCAGAGGGATCAACGGCCCTGAACAGTTTCTCCAACTTCTCTGCCTTTTCTCTGCAATGCTTCAGAACCGCCTTTATGGACTCGTCTGTCGCTTTATCTGCCAATGTGCTTAGGTGCTTTTCGACAGCTTGGAGGATCTCTCGAACAATGGGTAACTTGTTGGCCACTTCACGAAATGATGGTGGTAGGTCTTTGGCATTTTTGAGGGCATCGGAAATCTTGCCAATAGTCTCGAGGATTGTGAGAATCGCGGAGACCAGGCCGATTACCTCGATGCCCGTGCTCCCCTTCGCGACAGGCCCCGAGACATACCATTCTATAGAAATCGCCCAAGTCCCAGTCTGCGAGTTCGGAAAATCAACCTTATACGTACCTACAAAGCTCGGTGCGGTAGTATATTTAAGTTTTACTATAAGTTTTATCTTTTACTCTCAGACATCTAGACATCTGCCGAACGAACAAACCCCTTGGGCTTTGACTGTAAGAGCTCGTATTCCAGTTAAGCTTTACCACTAATAAAGTTTCATTACGATCGCGCCTCACTAACCTTCCGTGATATCCGCTGTCTAATTTAATAGTCCTGGATCCAGAGAGTTATAGTTATAAATAGCTTACAAGAAAGGTATACTATATTGAAGAATGAAGCGGTGAGAGGCAAGCTTGTATTGAATACGAAGCTGTATCTGCTCTGCGGATGCCGAGAGTACGCACTTTCTAAAATAGGTATAAGCGCATATCTAAAACAATAAGCTATTAATTTACATTATAAAACCCTAGGCTAGCTATATGTCTTATTTCTTTTCCCTTCTACTTTATTTACACTCTTCTCTCTATACCTCACTTCGATTTAGTCTATTAGACACACTTTATACACTTTATACATAGAACAATATGTTCTTTAAGCGTGCGTTAGTCGCGCTGTTTGCGGCCTGGACTATCTCTGTTGCTGCAAACCCTGTCGCGGATCCCCTTCCAGATGACATCTATCTCCCCGATCTTCGTCTGTCCCCTCGCGAGGTTCAAGATTTAAAGGACAACCAAAAGTTTCCTCCAGGCTACGTTCACAAGATGGTGACCTTCGGAACTGGCGAAGACACCACTACTGTTCCCATCGTTGAAGCCGACCCCGATATGCTTCTCGATGACGAAAAGGGAATGAAAGCGCGTTCCTTGGCACCACGAGGTTCTTGCTTCAGTTTCCCTATGCCTTCATCCGGGTGCATGATCGACTACTGCTGGATTGATAGCGGAGGGCATACCTACTCAGCAGCAATCACCATCAGGGGCAGTAACGGGCAATCCAATCCCTCATCTGTAACAAGCAATGATCCGGCCAATCTTTCGCTCAACAATGTATTCAACGATGGTTACAATGGTTGGTTTCCGACTGGCCATGAATGTTCCAACTCGGATACGCAGATTTACACCGACCACCGCTGGTCTGCAGGCATCTTAGGAACAGCTTATATCAACCGCCTCAGATGTGACAACTGCAACTTCGGGTTTCTTAAATGCCCCTCAACTTACCTCAGAAATAACTTAATTGCTTATTCAAACGGCGTTGGGTCCCAGTCTTCCTGTGTTTCCTAGGAGAACTTAATGGAGGTATTCTGTTATGGAAAAGCTGTTATAAGAAGCTTATATACAGGAATGCCTATAAAACGATAGTGTTATATTTACTTCTAACTGCTCTTTAGCTAGAGCCCCTTTTAGCCACTTAATTAAATCCCATATACAGAGTCTTTAATATCCTGATGAAGCAAAGTGACTATCCTAGAACTGTCGGATTATCTATATCTTTCGGTCCTCAGAGTGGGGCACTTCCCCAACAAACAGTGGTGCTACAGGACGGATTCAGGCTGATTGACCGGTTTTGAAGGTTGTCATTCATTATCTGTGTTTGCAGCCTAAAGCTTAACCTTATAGGCCGCCGTCATCCATAGAACCCCAGCCAGCCTCGATTTTTCAATACCCAGTCGATATTCTCGGTATCAGCTCATCTTTTCAAGTTCGTGGTACTTGCCATTTCCGGGTTATCACTAACGGCTTTTAGAGCTTACAGGATCACCGAGACATTTAAAACGGGTTCATCCGGTGACCGTTCAGTTCTCGACCTCTAGAGAAATGGATATATAGAACAGCCGGCTTCTTCATCCCTCCTTCTCCCTCGAGCGAAAATAGCACGGATTAGAGAGCTTTCTATTGGCTATATTATTGATTTAAATCTCCGCTTTACTGCCTTTAATAGTACCTATCTTCAGGAGCTGCTCCATCAGCTGGACTCTAATCTTTATGCTCAGATGCCCTGAGGTCGAACTGCAACAAAAAAGACCGAGAGGACATACTCATTTCAAAGAAAGTGGTTGTCAAGGAGGAACTCGAAAATGCTATTACCTAGATATATCTAAGCTTCAACCTCTAGACCTCTCCGAACAGGTTAGCTTTTATTTTTATCTTCAGTCGCTTTATCGATCGGAGAGACTTATATCAAAGCCGGCTGCTGACTTTCAAGAGGCAGATCGCATCTCATGCGGTGAGAACATCGCTTACACCATAGGAAACGTCGTCCGTGATTGGTGTGTTGATAGTAAGCTAGGGGTTTCGATCTGCGATAATGTGGCCAGTAATGATATTTGCTTGCGAAACCTCTACACAACTCTCGATGCCTCGATAACTGCAGCGGACACGGAGGCACAAAGGCTGCGATGTTTCGGTCATATTCTAAATCTCGTTGCCCAAACCTTCCTCTACGGCGATGATATAGCTTCTTTCAAACTCCAGTCTGAGGCCTATGATATGTTAGAGCGGGTTGAAGAAAACCTCGAACCCTGGCGAGCCAAGGGTTTAGTTAGGAAGCTTTACAATAGCGTTAAGTTCATCCGACCGTCTCCGCAATGCACCGAAGCTTTCAAAGCATATGCAAGGGAGCAGGAGGAGATAGACACATATAAGCTTACAGAGGAATCAACTGCAGAGATTGAAGTCATACAGAACAACGCTACGAGATGGTACTCGACTTATATGGTGATTGAGCGTGCCTTAGTCCAGTAGTCTGAGCTCAACAGCTTCATACAGCTGACATTCTGACATCTGATGACTGGAAGGTCCTCAGGGAAGTTACTCATATTTTAGAGCCGGTCTACAATATGACGATGAGAACACAGGGATGGGGTACAAGCGGGGGTCACGGTCGACTCTGGCAAGTCATGACGGGAATGGAGTTTGTCCTAGAACATCTTGAAGCCTGGAAAGTTGTCTAGGAGGATCAAACTGCTGATCCAGCTGCGGAAGAATGGTATACAACCCAGGGGGAGGAAACTGGACCGGCCATGAGTGCGACATCAACACTTTCGGGCCACCGACAGTCGGACAAATCCGGGAGCGGCCCTCACGGCAGTCGCAGTTACCATCAAGACTTCAAGGGTACGAAATTATACTATAGCGCCGCCGTCGCGAAACGACTCTTCCAGCTCGCCCACCCGCCAGCTCACAGTTTAATGAAGATGCGTTTCCCTACATTTCCGCATAGGCATAATAGACAAAAGGAAGAGAAAGAAAAATGCAGAAAAACACTGTCGCAATAAATCATCTTACCTTGTATGGGGATCGAGTGTCCATTGAGGTACCCCGCCATGAGGTTGCGATAAGCGGGGTTGACGATATCGGAGGTCGACCTTATCAGGTCGGAGCCGTGCCCCGTTCTAATTCCGAAACAACACGGCATCCGGGGTCTATATGCCGGGGCCGAAAACATTCAGCATCGACGGTCATCTACTATAAGGAATAGAAACATGGCACGAGCCATGGAAATCGGCCCTTTTCAAGCGTCCTCTTTTCATGATCTTATCTGATCTGCGAAATTTCTCTGGTAGAGTTTGACAGAGACGGCTGATGACTCATCCATATCAGACTCGGAGCCCCACATCTCCAACTCCGATCTAATTTTTTCCGTTGAGGTCATCGCACAAACCCACTCATTCACTCGCTCACTCCAACACCCATATCTCAGATATCTACACCCAAAAATGAGCGGAAAACCTGCGCTCGGTCTTCTCGGCGGCGGCCAACTCGGTCGCATGCTCTGCGAAGCCGCATCCCCTCTCGAAGTCGAAATCGCCATCCTCGACGCCCAAGACGCTCCCGCCAAGCAAGTCAGCCGCAGCAAGTACCACGTCGACGGCTCTTTCAAAGACGCCCAGAAGATCAGAGAGCTCGCCAACAGCTGCAGCGTTCTCAGCGTTGAGACGGAGCATATCGAAACTGCTGTTCTGGAGGAGTTGGCCACTGAGGGAAAGGTCGTTGTGTATCCTTCGTGGAAGACGCTTCGCTTGATTCAGGATAAGTTTGAGCAGAAGGATTATCTGGGCAAGCAGGGTATTCCCATCGCTGAGCAGGTCGCTATTCAGGCGAATGGCGCGGAGGAGATGCGCAAGGCGCTGAAGGATGTTGCGAGCAAATTTGGATTTCCTTATATGCTCAAGTCGCGAAAGGATTCGTATGATGGGCGGGGAAACATCAAGATCGCTAATGATGAGGATATCGAGACTGCTGTGAGCGAGTTTGGAAAGCTGCAGTGCTACGCTGAGAGGTACGTTCCTTTCCAGCGTGAGCTCTCGGTCATTGTTATCCGCACAGAGGACACTGAGGGCCGAACAAAACGTCTGGTGCCGTACCCTTGTGTCGAGACTGTTCACGAGGACAACGTCTGCTCGCGGGTCTACATGCCTCCTCGCGACACACCAGATGAGGTGTCTAAGCGCGCTCAAGAGGTCGCTGTTAGTGTTGTTGAGAAGCTTTGGGGACGAGGTGTTTTTGCTGTGGAAATGTTTGTGACTGAGAAGAATGATATCCTTGTCAATGAGATTGCGCCTCGACCTCACAACTCTGGACATCTCACCATCGAGGCCGTTCCCTACATGTAAGGCTCTATGACTACCCCACTGACCTCATACTAAGAAATGGATAGGTCACAGTACAAGGCGCAACTCACATCTATCCTCGACGAGCCCCTCCCCGAAAAGCTCGAACCCCACGTCAGATCCAGCATCATGATCAACATCCTCGGCGGCGCCGAACCAGAATCCCACATCCCCCTCGTTCAAAAGGCCAAATCCATGTTTGCCAGCAACATTGGCGTGTACCCCCATCTCTACGGCAAGCAGTCCAAGCCCGGCCGCAAGATCGGACACATCACCCTCACAGGATTGACCGCTAGCATCAAGGAGCTCGAGGAGTATGCTCAGCCTCTTGTTAAGTTAGCCGCTGACATGCGACAAGAGCGCATTCAGGCCAAGAGCAAGAGTCTTCGTCCTGAGCAGGCTGTTGCAAAGGCTACCAAGGATCCTCTGGTTCTGGTTACCATGGGTTCTGATTCTGATCTCCCTATCCTCAAGGCTGGTCTTGATATTCTCACTCAGTTTGGTGTTCCTTGGGAGGTTGACATTACGTCTGCTCACCGAACACCTGTCAAGATGGGTGATGTCGCTACAGCTGCTGCTGATCGTGGCATCAAGGTTATCATTGCCGCCGCAGGAGGAGCTGCCCATCTTCCAGGCATGGTCTCAGCTTACACCCCTCTGCCCGTCATCGGCGTCCCTGTTAAGGCCACTCACTTGGACGGGATGGACTCTCTTTTGAGCATTGTCCAGATGCCTGTAAGTAATAACCCCATGCAATAACATGCACAGACTGACTCGATACAGCGAGGCGTTCCTACCGCAACCGTCGGCATCAACAACTCCACCAACGCCGCTCTTCTCGCCATCCGAATCTTGGGCACTTTCGTGCCTGAGTACCTTGAGAAGATGAGGGCTTACCAAGTTGACATTGGTGAGCAGGTGAACGGTAAGGCTACTCGATTGAGGGAGTCTGATGTCGAGTCGTACTTGGCTCAAATGAAGAAATAAAAAGCGATTCAATGATAAATTCTATAGACAAGAATTGAAAGGCCAACCACGTTTCTATAATACCAGCATCTATGCGCATCCCGGATGGTAGGGATCAAACATTTAACAGAGGCAGGGACGATGAAGTCAACGGCTCAATATCTGCGAGCTCTAACTCTTCATCCACGCATACCGATAATCTCCTTCTCTAGTTCGCCTCGATCAAAACAGCATCATCAACATAAAACTCCAAATTCTGACACTCCGCTCGAATCTGAATACTCGGCACCATATCCAAAAACATTTGACTCCAAATGCAGCTCATAGTAAACTGCGTCCATTCATTATACGGCCCGGCCCAATCAGAGCTCGAGATATAGCCGCCCCCAGCTCCGCAAGTAATCTTTCGCGTGTTGCAATTAACAGCCTGAGCGGTCTTGATCCAGATAGAATAATGGTACTCGGTGTCAGCCTTGATCAGGGATTGGTCAACGGGATGATCGACACCCAGGACGACAGGGCTGATGAAGCCATCTGTATAGAAGTGGCCAGAGAAATCGCCGGAGTGGGTATCTTCGTCGGTGATGGAGAGCGTGCCACGGCCTCCGAGGGTGTGCCAGGGGGCGATGCTGCCTGAATCGAAGCCAGGGTTTGCGAGGACGTTGGTAGGTTCTGCGGCAGCAGCTGTGGTGGTTGTAGGCTCAGCAGTGGTTGTAGCGAGTGTAGTTGTTTCAGCACTTGAGGTAGTGATCAAGATGGTGGAAGTAGCTGAATCGGAGGCAATGTCAGTGGTAGAGCCAGAGACTGTCTCCGTTTCCGTTTCAGTAGTCGCTGTCTGAGTAGTCGCTGTCTCAGTCCCGGACACAGCAGTTGATTCAGTAAAGAAAGTGGTAGACATCTCAGTTTCATCGGCGATAGTCAAGGACGAGACAACGGGGATCGACGTGGATTCAGTGGAAGCCGTTGCTGAAGCGACCGAACCAGATGAAGAAGAAGGCTTGCATGGCGATGCATGGGCAAGCTGGCATATCGCCAACAACTGAAGAGAGAGAACTCGCATCGTGTCTTGGGTAATGACTGCGAGGGCAATAGCAAGGACCTTGATTGAGAGAAAAGGGAGATGATGGAAGTGGGAAAGAACTAAATATAAACAATAATGGCTATATATTTAGCTTGAAAAGTCCTACTGAGATTATCTTAAGATGGTCTAGAGAATAAACTATTGCTTTAGGTCGGCGAGTTATAGAGGTTAGTGCCAATAGTGACAGGGAATGGATAAGCTAGTGGAGATTGGTGATCCTACATTTTTACCTAGCTTATGATTGGTATATCGCCTCTGAGTGGAGCATGTTATTTACCCTGTATTATGGGTTTTATTTATATGCTTGAAGAATTCATTACATACAGCCCCTTATGAGACTTGGACTATTTTTTAGAGTCTAGATTATTGTAAATCGTCATCTAGAAATGGGTGGATTAGCAGTATATGAAAGAGACGTCGTGAGAAATCAGACTGTATACAATTCTGCTAGATAAGTGTCATTATCACTGACCCGCTCATTCAGCCTCATGAAAACATGCTCAATATCCATCACCGGCCCGGATCCTGAAGGGAATATCAGTAATAGAGCCAGAAAGCGTCTCCACTTCCGCCTTAGTAGTAGATTTCTCAGTAGTGGCCTTCTCTGTCACTTTCTCAGAGAAACAGCAGTCGAGTCAGCGAAGAAAGTGGTCGACGTCTCGGTTTCATTAACTGTAGCTAAGGAAGAGATAACAGTAATAGATGTCGATTTAGCGGTAGTCCTAGATAGAGCAACTGCAGGAGATAAAGAAGTAAGCTTGTATGACCTTTTATTAATTAAATTACCTATATTATTAAAACTATATTTAATTATAAAAAATCTTTTTATAATTAATTAAATCATCTAAGCGCTTTCAATAGTAAAGTAAATAAAACAGGCTAGACTAATTTTATACCTTAGGCCTTAAAAACACTGATATTGGTTCAGGCAATCTATCCCAGGTCTCTGAATACTGGAAAAGTAATCTTTACAAATACGTACGGCACAGGCAATGCAATGCGGAAGGTGAATCAAAAACACCTCAAGACAACATCCAGATCAGGGCAAAGACTGACTGCATTGCGTCCATGACCCTATACCCGGCTTGGCGCGATTGAAAAAAGTACCTGACCTGACCAACACATACACCAATTGGACCAATACCCTACAACCCATTCGGACCCCAAACCCCATGCCCGGCTTGGCATGGCCGAGCGTACTTAGCCAATATGCATAACGACCCGAACAATACATTTATACGATGGCCTAAGGACGTGCTCTTGCTTTTCTTTCGGCTGGAGTACTGCATATAACCTTACGTAAAGATGAGCTCTTTTGAAGTATAAAGCAGAGCGTTATCCCACCTTTGCTTATTAGCACTTAGCTCTAAGCATTTCCTCCAAGATTTCCTTGCCTTGCTCAAACCGTCACTATGGTTAAGATCGACTTTGCTCTCCTTGCCCTGGCCGCCCTCGGTCCTACCCTTGGTGCCGCCTATCCCACTGATGCGGATGGCCAAGATGCTCCTGACCTTGTCGCTAGGCAGAGCAACAGGTTTACTTGCAACTATTCCTCAAGCAAAAGAGCCCGCGTAAGTTTATGCTTCTGCCTTTGTTTCTCACGAGATGCATGGTCCGCTGTCTAACTAGTAGCGCCCCAATAGGCCTCTACTGTCGCTGCTTGTATTGACTCGATTGCGGAGTACGGCAAAGATGGAAAAGCCTGTCCGGTTGGCAGATACCGCGTGATCTGCAAGAAGTTCCCATCTATATCTGTTTCTGTCTTCGATGGCGGAGAATCAAGAGCCCCATGGTTAGTTTATCCCGTAGCTGGCCGCCTCTATCTTTCGTGAGCGATATTGTGTACTAACTCTTCTTTGTAGTGCCAAGTGGGCGCGGGATCTCGGAGCGTTTTTGGACCGATGTACCGATGACAGAGGAACGGTTAGGGGGGCCGTACATGCCTCTCACTCAACTGGCACCTATCAGATTAATGTCGAGGCAGCATAGGCCGGTTCCTGTGATTTTCTGATGCGTTAGCCCTTGTCCTGAGTGGAAAGGGCCAATCTAGGCGAAACATGCGCTTCAGAAGTATAATAAAGATAAAGTACACCCTTCTATATGCCAAGAAGTAGTTAAGCTTGGGTAGCAATACTAAAATACCTCATTAACATATGCCGATTATATAAGATAATAGACTGCATAAATCCTGGCTAAACATTCAGAGAAATAACGATCAGACATCGCTTATCAAGTTCACAGGAAGAACTCTTAAAATGCTCCACCAGCCCAGATCTTATCCCAAGCGCTCTTCACAACCTCAGTCTCCAGTTTCTTAAAGAAATCCCCCACGGCAATATCCTCCTGCCCCTCGATCCTCATAACACCCTTCTTCACTCCCCGCCAGCCCTCGACGGGGAGCTTCAGCTTATCCTGACCGAGACCGTGGAAGTACCGACCCTTGAACTTCTTCTCGCCACGCTCAATAGCATCATATTCAGCCTGGCATTCCTCGCAGATCAAGCCTGCCGCGAACGTCACGTACAGGTATGCTGACCGACCGGCCCACCATTTGAACTTCCGCGATGGGTTGCAGAAGCCACCGCAGGTATAGTACCCGTCTTCTGGGTCTACCAAGTCTCCCTCGTCTGTGGGTGGATCGCTGTCATCCTCCTCGTCATCGCTGGTGTCATCATCGACGTGAGGTTCCTCAGCTTCGTCATCCTTGTCTTCAGCTGCCGGGGTCTTCTCCTCGTCTTTGGCTTCTTCCGCGTCCTCAGATTTTTCAGTATTGCCCAGCCTCGAAAACACAGCTGACCCAACAATGCGAGCGCATTTATTAAGCTCCGCGTCATTCCTCAGTGCTTTACTCATAAGTGACAACGACTGCGCCAGCATCCACAGATAAGGCGCATCGTTCCATCCGACGGAATCACTAAGACCTGCGAAGCAGTCGTCCAAAAGGGACTGGATGATTTGCTGGAACTTTTCAAGAGGGCCCATGATGAGATACATGTACGCTAGCCCAACGCGATGAAAGCTCGTCCAGGATGCAGATGTTCTGGGAACGTCTGACGCAAACGGTCGTTGCATAAGACCAGCGAGGGCGGTCAGCCTTTCTGCTTTGTAGACTGGATCGCGAGACTTGCGGAACATCTCAAGCTGAACATTTGTCATGCAATCAACGGCAATAAGCATGTTGTAGAGTGCAGTTCCACCGAGGATCGGGAACCTAAGTCCTGTTGCGCGTGCGTCGAACACTTGGTCCAGCAGCTCGAGTGCCTTCTCGGGCTGTCGGCACACCTCGAAGTATATCAAGGCGAGATCAATCCGCAGAGGAAGACCGGCGTTGAGGTTATCCAGAAAGTCGATGGCCTCTTGGTAGAACTTGACGATGAATTCTTGCTCGCCTGCTTCCGAAGCAATGTCGCCAAAGACGGCGTGTCTTTCTTCACCATCGCTTTCAGCATAATCTGATGCGATCCATGTGATTCTCTCCACAAGACTCCACTCCTTGAGCATCGGGATGTACTGAGCCTTGTCCTTCTTCTCCACGACCTTGAGCTCGTCCACGAGATCTTGACCTGGGGTAATCCCATCGGGGTCACTCTGCTTCGCCTTGGAGAATGATTCAAGAGCAGCGTCGTATTGGCGAAGCTTACGTTGCGCTCTCGCAAGCGTCGTGTAGACCTTGCGTTTCAACCCTGGAACGACATCGCCTGCGGATAGCCCGTCAACTGCAGTCTGCGCCACGTCACAAGCCTCTTGTTTCTTCTTCTGTTCAATGAGAAGACTAGACAAGACGCACGAAGCTCTGTAGAACTCGTCTTCCCCAGGCTTGCAGAGATCAAGAGCCGCGCGGCATATCTTCTCAGCTGGATCTAGAAGTTCATACTCATCGAGGACTTCTGCGACCGCCCGGTGTGCTGTAGCGTCGGGCTTGATCTCGCTGCCGAAAAGGTTTAGGATTCCAAGGCTTGCTGCAGTTTCATTGAACTCCTCACTGCCTTTATCGAAGGCATCTTTGCCCTCGAAACGGTCCGGGAAATTAATGACTGCTTGATCCATCAGTAGCTTCGTCAATTCAGACTAGAGATGGGCAACATGTTAGTCTTCCTGGTATAGCAGTTGTTACGGGGCGAGATACTTACCACCTGCAAAACACCGTGAAGATGCTGCCACGAATCAAAAGCGTCTTTCGAGTTCTGCGTCACGTAAAGCCGACGCAGATAACCCTTTGCGATATCAACGCGACAAAGCGCTGGATCAGGCGCAACACGCTGCCACCACTCAACAGCAAAAGCACTCATTCGATCCTTAACTTCCGGCTTCTCAAGCAGTCCCGCCCACTCAGCAACCTTGGTATTGGTCACAGCTCCACCACCACGTTTCCCATACAGAATGCCGCTCTTGGCCATCATCTCAGCCAACCCTGTCTTGTCAGCCATTGTCTCCGCAAAAGCTTCCAGCACTTCAACTTGCTCCTCAGGCGTGTGCTGCTCCATGGTGAGAGATGTAAAGTGCGAGATGAACCATAGCGCCGCGTACTTGAGAAGTCCTTCGCATACAGCTTCACGAGGCTGTTTTAGTAGCTCTGCGCTAGTAATGAGCATTTTTCGATTTGCTTCTGAGGGACCCCATCTGAAATCCGATGCGCCGTGAGTGCTATTCGTGAAATAATGCCTCATGGAGCGCTCCTTGAAAGTGACGGGCAGTGGACCATCGTCGTAGATGCTGTCATGTTTATCATCATCATCATGCTTAAGGTCTTGAACTGCTGTGGCTTGACTGGCTTGGAGTCTCGCCAGAACCTCTGTATCATAGCCTGGACCGCCGATCCGGAGAAACTTGTCGAATAGTTCACGTATCTCTTCAATGTCAAATTCGTTGTCCTGCGCGAGATACTTGACCAGGGATTGGACCTCAGCCAGAGTCAAGAGCCGCTTGGAGAACGCGACCCAGTGGAGTAACGCCGCAGCGACCTCTTGGTGCTTCGGGGGCATGCGGCGCTGACATTCTGCAAGTAGGATCTCATAGATCCCGTGAAGATTCTTGGGCTTATCTTGACTTAGAGCGCGGAGAACAGCTCCCTCACGACCGAGATCGTCAAGGCGACCGAGCAGGTGCTGAGCGTAGAGCATATCTGTTGCAGTGTGAGCTATTTGATCAGATAAACGAGGAAAGATACTGACTAGGTGAAGCCTCCTCGATGTTATCAGCGATTCGTTGCTGCACATAGCGACTAAATCGTCTCAGATTATTGAGAGCGTTGATCTCGCTCCATATCAAAGCTCTGAGATCCTGCATCTGTTTCTTCTTTGTCGCCTCGATTCGTGTTATCTTTGTACCCTCAGGAAGATCCTCCAGCTTATCAGGCCTCGAGGTAACAACCAAAGAGATCTTCAACCCCTTCTCGTTAAAGTAGTCGGTGAGGAATAACTTGAAGTTCGCCCAATCACGAAGCTCATCAAGGCCATCCAGGACAATAAAAAGGTTGAACTTGGAGTCCGGCGCAAAAACAGCATTGAGTAGGTGCTCAACGAGCTTCTGCCAGATCTTTGTATCCATGTCGATATCATCTCGAGCTATCTGGGCGTTCAGCTTCTCACATGCCGCGTAGTTTGTTTCCGCGATGCGATTGATGACCGTGATGACACCACAGAGAAAGAATGCAAACGCGTCTTCTTGTTCGCGAAAGTAAAAGTGCGCCACGCAAGTATGCCCTGTCTCATCTTCACTGGCTCTCTGGGCAAGCTTGTCGTGTAGCGCGGCCGCCATGTGACTTTTACCAGTACCAGGCTCTGATGACACCGCGAGGATGGGCCGTGATCCCTCTGGGAGCTTCAGCCATTCTTCCCACTCAGGCTCAGAAAAGATCCAGTTGCATGAGTCTGGGAGAAGAGTTTCCTTCAGGGCGTGATACTCGTGGTCGTCATTGAAGACTATGGGCATGGCGTTGCGGATACTGTTGGAAGAAGTCGGTTTGTTCGCTTGAGGTTTCTCCATAGTCTTTTCCTTCTTCTGTCCGCCGAAGAGTTTGAGGATCTTGGCTATGTCGCCACGAATATTCTCCGTGTTCTCGTGAATGGTATCGATGGTATGACCGACTCGCTCAAGCATTTCGGCATGAGACTTCTGGTTCTCATCAAGCTGTGACGCCATGGCAAGAGTCTCTTCTGTGTTGCCGAGGATGGCGAACTCGGTTGCTTGCTGCAAATGGTCCAAGTTCTTGTTCATATTCGCTCTCGCGCCACCAAGCTCTCCATCGTCACCTTTGAACAGGTTCGAGATCCATTTCTTGAAGCGACCCAGCTCGATATACTTGTGCGCAAAACCGCACATGGTGAGAAGTGAGGTGAAAACCTCCATCAAACAGTTCTGATAAGCCTTGACTTGCGGCAATCTCTTTTCCAGGATGGTGATCCGACCTAAGAAGCTGTTCATGTCTTCAAAGAAGACAATGACGATATCGTAGTCGGCAGAGACAGACCGACAAGCTTGAAGCATATAGGTCAAGGCAGTTCCAATGGCTGCGGCTGGCGGAAAAGCCGGTGCAGCGGCGGCGATAATTTGGTTGGCGCCTTGCTCGACGAGATCCAGATTGGAAGAGAACAGGGTCCTCAAGCGATCGACCTTTCCCTTGTCATGCCTGAACTTGTGAAAGTTGTTCATCTGGTCGGTTCCGTAATCCAGCATGGACTGTACATTGTCGAATTTGCGCTGCAGACCGAAACCGACGATGCTCTCATAGCTCTTGAGAGCTTCTTTCCATAGATCGGCAACATCTCGATCATCATTCTCGAGCTGCTTCTCCAGCTCCACACGTGCCTTTTTTGCTACCATTGTGCGAACACTAGGAACGGAAAGATTGCAATGCTAGAGTAAAAGAGAGCATGTTAAGGACGAAAAGAGAATTGGAAAAGGCTCTGGGGTTGAAGACTAAATACGAGGGGTTTATTTGTTGCCTTGCAAGGATTGATGCTCTCGTGCCTCTTTATAACTAAAATGTGTGACACTATTGGTCCAGTACTGGACCAGCTGAATGCACCGCCAGCGGATTTTGTATGCAGTCAGCAATTAACGGCCCATACTAAGGCTTAGCTTGTTTATTAGCCTCCATGTTATCATGGATCAACCAGATCGAAAATTGATGCAGTTTTCGGAAACCTTTGCGGGGATGTTGTTGATTCCATAATTCCTTTAAACTACGATATGACATATTCGTCTTGATTAGATCATCCATTCTATGTGTTGATCTATCACCAGCCCCGTTCACTGCAGCCACTTGAAACCCTTCTCCAACTTCATCCCAATACGGCAAATTACCTCAAATGACCATTTGATAGAAAACGAGAGAACACCACATTGTCTTATGCCACCTATGTCAAGGAAAAGTGGTGCGATCGCCAAAAACGGTCGGTGCTTTTGTCTGCATATGAGGGCACTTTGTTGGAGTTAGACCACGGAGGTTACAGTGTCGTCAGCTTACTTGCAGCAAACCATCCTGGTGCCTAAATCTTGGGTATACTGGCAATTCGTCAAGAGCCGACTAAAGCTTCAGCGAATCAAACGAGGCACCTCGTAATTCAGAAGATGGCTATGTGTTGTTGCTCCTAGCCGAGTGGAACATCCCGCTTGTCCATCAACTTGACATTCACCGGGGGATGGCCATTTCCTTCAAGTGGAGTCAAGAGGCATTATATTATGGTTTCTTTTATTTATTTCTTGCTTACCGTCAGCCTTATTCGGGGCTATCGAGCTTTTGACTTTTCAAACAGAGGCTTAAACAGTGAATTATATTGTATACCAATTGAATACTGAATGTTCGTCATTCCATATAAGATCGCAGTGTTGCGGACGGCAAAAGCCACAGTATCTGCCGCAATTGTTTCTTAAACTTTGAGTGGCGTAAGAGAACAAAGCAAACAGGCACAAACAATAACCATGTTCCCCCCACCGAGTCTGTGAAATCAACTATTGAAAAGAAGCATCATTCGCTGGGTTCTCCCCCTTCATACTTTGCCAACACCCTTAACTCCCCAAGGCTTCACGAAGATGAGCTATTCACTTACCAACGTGCACAATGCTATCGCCTCTCTGGAACCACAGATGTTCGATATCTGCAAAGTCAGCGGCGCGGCTGGGCTGTCGTTATCCGTTGTTTCGGGCGGAAAAGAAGCGTACGCAAAGCATTTCGGCTTCCGGGACCTTGAAGCAAAGGAAGTGCCGGATGGCGATACTACGTACTTCATCGGCTCTGTGACCAAAGGAATGGTGGCAGTCCTCGTGGGAATATTGGCTGAAGAAGGGAAGCTCGGGTGGTCTACTCGCGTCGCCTCAATATTGCCCGAGCTCCAAGACTCATTCGATGGTCGTGGATCCGAGATCACTGTCGCCGATCTCTTATCTCATCGCACTGGAGTAGCGCGCAGTGACGCCCTCTGGATCTCTCGCGCAGGCAATCTCCTGCTCCCGAAGTCAGAGACTATTCGGACCTGAGCTGCTCAACCTGTTGTCAGAGACTTCAGGTCCGAATTTCTTTACAACAACTACGCCTACGACGTGGTCGGCCAAATCATTGAGATGATTGAGCGGAAGAGTCTTGAAGAGGTTTTCAAGGAGAGGGTACGGGAGCCGCTGGGGATGCATCGAACGTCTATGGAGGACCTCGCTGGGAACACCAACGCAGCAAAGGCTTATTACGCCCTCGAAGATGCCTCTTCATATGAAGTTCCAATTCCTACCATATCTCATAAAACCATCATGGGAGCTGGCGGGGCCATTAGAAGCTGCACCAACGATCTGGTCAACTACTATAGCAGTTTTATGCGCGCAGTCAATCATCAGTTGAACAACAAGACGACCTCAACCTCAGACTCGCCATTCAAGCAACTCACTACAATTCTTCAACCTCACAACCAGCTTGAACTCACCTCTTTACGCGAGCAGTCTTATGCACGGGGCTGGGGGCGTGCACAGCTCCCCTGTCCGTTGGGAACTCTCAGTTACAACTACCTGCTTATTCACTCAATGCTGGTGATTGGTCGAGGAGCTCCAGGCCAGGTCGCTCTGTATCATGGAGGCAGTATACAAGGATTCAACACGGCTGTTTACCTCCTCCCAGAAACCGAGACGGCTATCATCGCAATGCAGAACTCGTCAGGTCTGGGCGATGCATGCGATTGGATTCCTCAGATGATCATCCACAAATTGTCAGGCAGTACTGGGAGCATCGACTTTCCTCGTCTTGCTACTGCGGCTGCGAAGGCTGCCCTATCTCTGCCAGAGAAAATTGAAGGTGAGCTTCAAAAGAGACGAGAGAGAGGCACTGGACACTTGGACCTCCAGGCATATACGGGTCGCTACTGGAATGACCTTCGCAACTTTCGCATCAACGTTAGCGTTCGCCATAGCCGTCTTTACATGACCTTTCGAGGTATAGTGAACGAGACTTATGAGTTGAGGCACTATCATCACCATTCATGGACGTGGAACGTGTCGCATAATGAGACTGCCAAGTCTGGACGATATCCAAATAGACCCTGGGTCGCGTACATAGTTGAGTTCGATTGCGGGGAAAATAAAGAGGCTCACGCGTTGCTCTGGAAGTATGATGAGGAACATCCAGAGCCGGGTGTCTTTCTATAGAGGAAGGGTCACGCCGAGGGTGAAGACGGGAATTGAACGATGAAAGAGTATTCTCAGCTCAATATCAATCTCATTAACAGCGTAAATCATAAGTGTCTTCGATCCAATATCTGCAAGCATACGATTCCCCTTCGTATGAATAACTTGCTGACCCAGTCTGACCTAGATGGAGGGAAACCATTTATCGTGTACTATGCTATGCCTAAATTTCATGAAGTTTGTTCGCTCAAACAGCACTGTCATACTTAGCCTGACTGACCGCTGGAGCCTTTGCGCCATAGATGGATACCATCTCATCATGGACAGTCTTCTCGCTGACAATGGCGGCTCCTACCACCGCGTGATCTGCGCCACCAAACAGTGCATCCATATGTTCCAGAGGCACACCTTTAGTCTCTGGGATGCAGAACCAAACAAATGCAAAGAGCAGGATGTTGATAGCACCAAACATGTACATAGCGTAGCTGCAAAAAGAGTTAGTACATTGAGATTCAAGGTAGGCTTCCGCTAACTTACAATCCCTTGGCAGAAAGGAATATAGGGAAGATTTGTTCTGCGCGACTTGTTACTTATATGTTTATGGAAAACAAGATGGGCACTTACGAAGAATGATGCTTGCGATAGACTGGCACTGAGTCGTCATAGCGACAGCCTGCGCACGAATATTCATAGAAAAGATCTCAGAAGTCCAGATCCACACCGTCGCACCCCAAGAAGGCTTAAAGAAGAATGCAAACAGGAACATCAAGAAGACAGTCGCGATGCCTACACTGGAAGACTTGGATCCATCCTCGAGAGTCGGTGTCTCAGTGACCACGGCTGCAGCGGAAAACATGCAGACTGCCAGGCCCGCAACACCAACGAGGAGAAGAGGTCTTCGGCCCACGAGATCCGTCATCCAAGTGGCGTTCAGAGTAAAAAGAATGTTGAATGTTCCAGCTAAGGCGTTGATAAGCTGGATTTGGCTGTTTGAAGTAAAGACCTTTTTGTAAATGATCGTGGAGTATGTTGCGAGGGAGTTGTTTCCGGTGAGTTGTTGTCCAATGTTCATAGTAGCCGCGAGGACTAGCCACGTTAGTTTATGAGCATGCACAGGCAGAGAAAAACTTACGAATGCGCTTCCTCACAGACTTATCTGTCCACAGCAACTTGTATCGGGCCCAAGTGCTGTTTCCTTCTTTCTTTTCGAACGCAATGGCTTGTCGAATATCTTGCATCTCTTGGGCAATGAGATCTGGGTCGTCGCGGATTTGCAAGAGAGTATTGTATGCCTCTTCGAATCTGTCATTCTGGACATACCTGCAGCTTGATCAGCATCACATTCCAAAAAGCATCCAATCTCAGTGGGGTTCCGACGTGCATACCATCTTGGAGTCTCAGGACAGAAGACAAGCCCCGAGATGATGATGACGGGAAAGAAGATCTGGAGGAACATGACGATCTTCCAGTCCCATTCTCCGAGCCTCTCGGCATTTTTGGAGCAGGCGTAGTTGATCCAGTATGCGACAAAAGATCCTATAGCGAAGTTGAGCTGCCAAAAACTCATGATAGTCCCCCGAAGCTTGGCCGGTGCTATTTCGTTGATGAAGACCGGTCCAGCTGGCATCATGAGTCCCTGGCCGAAACCGGTGATGGCACGACCGGCGATGTAACCGCCGATGACCGGAGGAGTGAATGTCGAAATGAATGTTGAGATGATGACCAGTACCGCCCCCGCCCACATACTCCATTTGCGACCGAATCGGTCGGAGACCAGAGCAGACAGGAAAACGCCTGGAGAGTATCAGCATCGAGCCGATGATACAGAGTGATGGGGCCTTACCTGTAATGATGCTGCTTACGGCCATTGCTGTATTGACTGAGCCGATAGTGGAAGGCGACTGACATTAAACAGTTCAGTTCAATTGCACGTGAATGGTACTTGTAGGAGAGTATCATACGGGGTTGTTGAAGTAGTTCATGAAATGAACTGATCCTTGCGCTGCGTTGAAGGTAGAGGAATCATAGCCATTGACAGCCATGCAGGTGCAAGGAATGAGGCACGAGAACCAGAGGTTCGCCTTCTTGGATTTGAAGAGCATATTGGGCAAGGGATACCAGATAGACTGGGAAGAACAGTGAGAATGTTGTTGAGAAGAAGAGAGTCGTAGGCTGAATGAGGTTTGGCATTTTATCTATAGATATTCCGGGGACGGGGGATCCACAATCAGGGCCAGGTCTAGAAGGACAGCATCGGTACGTAGAGTCCCGAGTTGGACAAGAAGGGTTTAGCAGCGGCCGCCCTATACCGTTCTTTCTGACCATGCATCTCGGACCCCTGGATCTGCACTGACAAGGTTAGCAGCCACTCTGACTGCTATTTCCGAACTAGTTCACATGCAGTATAATTGTTAGTCAGCGGATTAAGTAACTCTGGATGTCACAACTCTTTCCCCTCTTTTTTTCCATCTTGTCACAGCTCACGGAGGTCCAATCGAAAGCAGCACAGCACAATGAAACTCCCTACAGCGTGCACCAGGTGCAGAAGGCGGCGCAAAAAGTGCTTCCGGACAAAACCTGACGGCCCGTGTGATGCCTGTGCCAAGAAGCAGAACCATCAGTGCTCGCTCGTCCAGCCACCAGGTGATGTTTCTCCTCAGCCACATCGCGTCTCGGCAGTCGAGGATCTGAACCCGCAGGCTGCTCTCTCGCATGACCTCATTGAAGAACTTGTGGAGAATTATATTTACTACATACTTGACAGGCCTCATACGCTCTTCCATCTACCTACCTTGCGGAATGCAGTGAAGGAAGATACGTTGGGAGATGCTTTGCTGTCAGCGATATTGGCGTTTGGGTGTCGGTTTCATGACAAGCCTGAGATAGCATCGCTTGGGCCTGCGTTTATGGAAAAGTCCAAATACTTACTGAAGTTGGATATGGAGAATATCTGTCTTGAGAATATCCAGACATGCGTGTTGCTCGCAAATTTGTCATCTTCGTCCAAGAACCCAGAGTCTGAGGCTCTGTTTGTCACTCTTGGCATTCGTATGGCTGAGATTCTTGGCTTGGACCAGCCGGACCCGGAGGACTCGGAGGTTCTACGTGAAACAAAATGCAGGGTATGGTGGACACTTTTCATGGCTGACCGTTGGAGTTCAGTTGGTCGCAACCTCCGACGAGCGATGCCGGACTTTAATCAGGAGACTCCCCTACCAATGGATGAAGACTACTTTCATCATCTGGATATTGACCAAGGTACGGACAGTGTCGAGGCATCGCCCCCGCGCCCTCGCACACTGGGCCTCTGGGCATACAACATCATGCTCGCAAAACAGCTAGGGCCTATTCGAGACCTGAATAAGCAGTGGAATCAGGAGGGCATCTCGGAAGATTACGTGATGCAGCGCGTCGCAGATCTAGCAGAAGGCCTACAGCTCTGGGAAGCGGGTCTCCCCGAGGAAAAGAAGGCGACAGAGGAGAACCTCCAGGCACACAGTGCAAAGAAGCTTGGGGGACCGTTCCTCGCCATACATACAGGCTACCACCAGCATTTCGTGCTGCTGCTGTTCCGGTTTCTGGACCTGAATCGGGCGCAGACGCCCAAGACGATCGAGTACGCCGAGCTGTGCAAGTATCACGCAAGGTCGATCAGTCAACTCGTCAAACTGTCCCGCCAAGTTCCGAACTGCGCGATGGTATTTGGGGGAGTGGGATACATGACTGTTGCGTCTTCAGCGGTACTTCTGCATACGCTCATTTTCGGGCAGCAGGATGACACGGCTGATATACGGGCCAAGCTGGAGTCCAACTATGAGACCATCTATGCGCTTCAAAAATACTGGCCTTCGATTCAGAACTCGGTTAGTAGAGAGACTTGTGTTAGTGGTTAGATTCTGACGAGTGCAGGTAAAACGCCTTGAGTTGTTCCAAAAGACTTGTGTGAGGCCCGCGGCAATGCAAACCTACAAGTTTGACAAGTGGATGGTGAGGTTTTTGGTCGAACATCATTTGCCGCTGGATGAGCCTGAAGGGGATCTATCGCCTGGTGCGGTATAGCATCGCCTTTGGGTTGCAAAGTGAATATTTGCATTGATACCGGCGTACACAGTATTGGTTTGTTGGATTTCTTTGTAATTATATTCGTCGCATCGATTCGTTCGGCCGTTCGTGTTGGAAGCTTGGGAAGAGAACAGAACTCAGACGCGAGACGGCGGGACGTCTGACCATGATATAAAGCGATAAGGGGTCATATTTATCTTTTCGGGCCGTATCACAAAGTCCCACAGATAGTAAACAACAGCAAACTACTGAATTCTCTGATCCATACGCTAACCTACGTATCGTGAATTTGCGCACCCTAGAGTCCCTAGTTTCGTTTGTTGACATCCCATAACTCCCAGCTAATCCCGGGTCTCTAAACCAAACTAGTCCATAAGCGTTTCGCTGTGTGTGGGGTCATCGTCGGGATATGCTTGTATAACCCGACGGCTGACAAGTGTCGGGAATCGCTCCAAGACCGCCCCTGCAAAGACACCGTCGGGATTTAGCTGCTTAGACCGACAACCACAAAGCGTCGGGATACAGCCCAAGACCGCGACAAAGCGGGGCGGCTGAAAAACAGACATCGTCTGCTCGTGAGTCGTGACATGGATCTATTGGTGGACTTGATGATGGGCTGATGCCACGGCCACAGAGCTTAGCACGTGATGCACACTCTTCAGGCCAAGTCCCTGCTCATCGAAGGTTTCAGTAACGCAGCCAAGTGGCGTGAGCATCAGCTTGAGGAATCGGCAAAGCTTGCTACGCCCGTCGCGAACTGTCAACTGCTCTTGGCGGAGGCGAGGAATGTCACCGAATGCGGGGCCCTAGTTACAATGCCTCTACACCACAATCTCTTCACGTGTAAGCAATTCAACAGGACTGTTACACAAGGTGTCTTGACAACTCAGCAAGGAAAACCCCCTTATCATCCTGCGCATCTAGACCTTTTCAGAAGTGCGTAAGCAATCAGATAACGAAAAACGAACTCGGATAATCCCGTTGCATATCCCACTAACTCATGCAGTCAAAAAAAAAAGGTGATCCCTGCCCCGACAATGTCGTATAGCGAGTGTCACTAACCTGAATCGTCTGGCTCCAAAAAGTTCCCACTCTGACAGCCCTAAAGAACAGAAGCCGCCATCCCTGTAACTTGGCAGCTTGTATAGGTCAAAGCCACAGTTATGATGAGATTAGCTGGGGGATTTCACTCCGTATTGTGTAACGTCTTGTCTTAAAATAACATTCTCAGCCTTTTTTCTCGCGTACCTCTCTTAGACTTGCCAGATTGGACCCCAACTAGCGGTTAATTAGCTTGCAGCCTGAAACTCTCAGGGTTAAATAGGAAGCTGTCTTACATAAATGTTAAAGAGCACTCTTCCCTTCTTGTTCATACCAAGACTCTGCCTCCTCCTTTTCGTATTTGCTACAAAATCTACATCACAATCAACATTGCCAAGACGATTTCTCTTAGTTATACCCACCAGACTTCACTCCTGGAGTCATACACAGTATATACACGCCATCATGAGTCCCTCATGCAGGTCTATCAAGCCTCGCTTCACATCACTATCGCCAAGCCCTGAAATTACAGAAGGGCCGAGAAAGGCTGATAGAGCGTGTGAGAAGTGCACGCGAACCAAGAAGAAATGCGATAAATCGTTACCCGGTTGTTCGCGATGTAAGCGGTAGGTAGAAATCTGTCCCACGTCAAGAGAGCTCAGTTTGTCTAAATGGTCAGACTCAGGAACAAATGCTGTTATGACTATGTATATACGCCCTCAGTCACAACTGTCATAAGGCCGGAGAGTACCATAAAATCTCCACCTCACATACCAGGAACGCTCAAGCCATTCCTCGATATTTCCAGCTCTATGATCTTGAGTCTACTTTCTTCACGAAACGCCATTCCGAGTCACTCAGTGCAGCACTACTTGGAGACTATAAATCCCTACCTTACCATAGTTCATCCAGAACTCTTCGCTTTACGCACCAAAACTACCGGTTCTGACTCTTTTTCCGATCAAGAGCTTCAAGACCCTGCTACTACACTTCTAGTTGTATGCATGCAGCTCTTCTCTCAAAACGATGATTCAGGTATCAAAGGAGAAGATGATGCGGACAGGGCTGTTTACCGGTCTGCCAAGCAGATATTGAGTGTCCTGCGAGCTATCGAAAGCCCCAGTATCGAGCTTATTCAGTGCTCCATTCTGCTTGCATTTTACGAGTATACCCACGAGGATCTCGGGCGTGCCTACGTTAGTATTGGAGATGCTAATACCATGGCTTCAATCTTACACGTGGGGCCCGGGAAGTACCATGAGGATGAGCGGGAAGCTATAGTACCCTATGAGGAGGAAGAACGGCGCTGCGTTTACTGGAGTCTTTTCGTCCTCGATCGGCTGGTCCAAACCGATTATTCTCTTCTTCATATGCCGCACCAGATACCACCTGCAGTTGTATCTCCTCCCGCGGCCGATGACCTTCTGCCGACGAACCATTTACTTTGGTACGATGAGGGCCAGTCGCCTTATTACATCACTCAGCGATACCCTGTAGATACAGATTTCTCTGTACCTGTCGGGCCTTTCCAGAGGAACTGTCAATACGCTATGCTCTATACTGGAACATCACCCCCTCAATCCCCTGTAGGTCCAACGGCCTTTGATTTGGGAAGCCATACTGTCACCTCGCCGTCGGTGTTGCCTCTTAGTATTTTAGACCTATAGGCGCTGTCTGGACTCACGAACTTATGTGTTACATCTTATTTTGAGCTATTTTCGTTATATTACGGTCCGGCGTCTGGAGTCCTTATGCATCTAGAGGAACCCTCTTAAAGTACACTGGCTTAATGCCAATTTGCAGAGCCCAATTAAGTCCGTTCACCATCCCGGACTCTTCATGACGATGAAACCTAAGAATAAATTGCTCCCATGTGAACCAATCAATGAATTCCCGAACAACAAATGCTTCCCGTGAAGAAGGTAGAAACCCAAACGTGTCTCCAGCAAAGTGACTCAGCCGATGGTGTTGTGACGGAACATTATTGGCAATCATGATCAGACTCTGGGTTGTGTCATGCCTGATATCCAGCGTCATCTTCAACCCTGAATTGATATACTTGCCCACATAGTCCTCATGATTGACATTAACCTGCTCTTTGCTTCTCTCCTCATTTCGAAAATACTCAAAGTCTGCTGCTATACGGGCATATCTCTCATACTCTGTCTTCGCCCTCTCTTTTGAAACTTCAGCGAAGTCGATCGGCGGCTGGAGCTTAAACATTGCCTGAGCAATAGCTAGCGCAGACCAATCTGGTCCATCTCCTAGGCCATGAGAGTTACCCAACGCCACTATTGCCGACTTCGTCTCTGGAAACAGATACAAAGCTGTAAGGTATCCCGACATACCGCCGTTATGATACAGAACAAGTCTTGGCCTTGAAGCTTGACCAATAACGTGTTCTCGTTGTGGGCCGTTGAGAGAAAGCATGCCTAGCTCTGTCGATGGAATCATGGCGCGAGCAAATCCGAGGCCGTATGTATTCTCGCCGATAGAAGACGTAGTAATGTTTGCCTTGTGAGATACGATTGTCGGTATTTCTTTGAGGACCGAAGGCTCGTTATGCATCGCGTCGAGGAGAGCTTTGGCCCGTTTCATCATGTCTGATACATTAGACCAGACACCTCCAGCCGGTCCCATAAGAGTATTATTAGCGGCTGTGTCAACTGGCTTTTGTCTGTGTAGCGAGTAGTCGTCAAGCACAACATGAGGCTCTGCGACATTCTCATCTCGTAGCTTTGTTCTGTTTGTGACAGTTCGGTGCATTCCAAGAGGTTCCGGGATCCTTTCCCTCAGAAACTCGTACCACGGCCGACATGACTGCTTCTCAATGACCGAGCCCGCCACGGCGTACATGTAGTTGTTGTAATGAAAGCCGCTTCGTAGGTCATGAACTGGAGGTAAATGGCTCACAACGTCAAGTAAGTCCTTCTTGTCAAGGATGTAGTCACATTCTACGCCCAGCCATGTAAGGTCCATATGCGCTAGCCCAGTATTATGCGACAGCGCATCTTGAATGGTAGCTCTTTCACCGATGACAGGATCCACAACACTGCGGAACGGGATATAACTCTGCATTGGCTTTGTCCACTCCAACTTTCCTTCATCAACAAGGATACCGCAACACCCAGCGGTAAAAGCTTTTGTCAGTGAGCACAGAAGATAGTTGGTCTCGGAATCAGCGGGCGCTCGGGACTCTACATTGCTGAACCCTCGACTTCGAGTGAAGATTATTTCTCCGTGATGAAGGACACCGATGCTGATTGAAGCTGACCAAGTGTTGTCCTGGATTTGATCGAGGATGGGACACAAAGCTTCGATTCTAAGCGGGGTTAGTAACGCCATCCTACTATTAAGACTCTATGGCTATCCTACCTAGACCGCACAGCATCTGAATCCGCGTCCGCGGCCATTTTGCCGTGTGATACTCTGCTATCGGATGAGAGGCTGTCTCATCGAGAGAAATTCCTGGCAAATGGATTTGTAGCTGGGGTATTTTTCTGAATTCTAGAAGGGTGTTCTCGGGTAGTGTCGGTCAAACTTGCGATGAATCATGGGACTCAGCGCCACGGAAGCCAGCCCTATCTCGCCCTCTTTCAACTCAACCAACTGTCTACGAGTTTTGGTACGTGCCACACGACTTTGGTTCCTTCACTTCCATCTTCTGTTCCAGGATCTAGTTTTGCCCGTGGATTTGCTGCTGGCAGCTGTCCTCTGCCATTATCCCTCGAATATTGACTCAAACTCCTAATTAAATTTCTCACATGCTCACTAGATATCTAGATTTTGGGACCCTCAGCCTGCAAGTCAAACGCCATCCCCACGGCTCCGAATGTCCCCATATGCATCGCCTGCATGACATTCTTCATCGGAGACGCGCAATCCCCCGCTGCATAAACTCCCTTGACGTTGGTGGCTCCATATGGTGGTGTTACCATAATATCTCCACCGGGCGACAACTCCACACCCAGTTGCTCTGCAAACGGGCCGTTAATCTTCGTAGGCGGCTTGTGCGCAAGGAACGCCTCGTGAGCCGAGCTTCCATCTGCAAATGTGATAGTAACTCCGCTACCCTCGGGACCAAGAGCGAGAGAAGCGATCTTCCGGTTGTCTATTGTGATGCCGATATCCTTCTCGCCGAGGACGTCTGCGACTGCGGTCTGCATGGTAGTGTTGTTTGAGGTGTAGATCACAACTTTCTGGGTCATCTGCTTGGCACTGCGTGCGAAGGCGGTGGCTGCTGCGGGGGTCGTGTTCTCGCCGAGGGCAAGGACTCCAGCTGAGGGTTTTCCGGTGTCTTCATAGCCGTGGCAGAAGAGGCAGTGGTAACTGAAGAAATTAGCATTATTCACTCTAGCAATATGGGGAAAGGGACGCACATGGCATGACCCCAACACTCAGCATATCCCTTGATACCAAGCGGCAAATCAGTGACACCAGTAGCAAGCAAGACTCTCCTGCCAGTGAACGTCGTCCCATCTGTAGCCGTGGCCGCAAAGTTGCCCGCACTCGTCTTCTCGACCTTGGCGATTTCGCGATCCTCAAATGAGATGGTCTTGTACCGCTCTGAGATCTCCTTACGAGTCGCGGCCCTAAAGTCAGCGGAGTCTTTGTGGTCCCACGTGGGTATGGTGTGCATATGCACTGAACGCGCATTGCGGAAGAGAGAGCTATTGAAGACGATAGCAGTGTGCAGTTGGCGGGCAAGGGCGAGCGCTGCAGATAGGCCGGCAGGACCTGCGCCGATGATGAGGACGTCAACGAGAGGCATGTTTGCTAGATTTGTGGCTGTGTATGTGAAGTAGTTGGGTATGAGGTTGGTAGTGAGTCTGTGTAAGAAAGACATGAGGAGAGAAAGACATTTATATGTGATATATATTCTATGCTACAGGGAATTCTCAATCAGTAAATCGATCCGTTTTCATCATATAGGGATTACCCCAAGGATCTAGGTAGCTCTCTCGAAAACCTTCCCTGGAGGGTTTTTACAATGCAGGGTCGGTAGTCTTTGTCACACCAAGATCCACGTTTTGAGATCATGCCGGTAGTGCAGAAAGCTAAAAGCTGCAGTGGTTAATTAGTGATGGAGAAAGAAGTTAGCGTGAGGCTAATAATACGTCCGTACAGCGATATCCGTCCTTTTGGTACGGTATACATACCTCTCTTACTCTCCAACTAGACTCCTAATTCTCCGGGGCCTTTAATTCCTCCGGAAGTGTAGTCATTGGGAAATTCACCTTATTCCCTTCCGGAGACTTCATTCCTCCCGCACATAGATGATCAAATAGCAAGCTGAGTAATGCCTGCCTGTAGGATGGCTGCAGTATTGCCCCTCGATTTATGACATGATGCCTTCTGACTCTTATATAGACTGGAAATGTGACTCAACCACAATTACACATACGACACCTCCCCTGAAGGTCGATGAAAACCAGTTAATTAACTTGGATCTATATGTCTTCAAAATGTAGGTCACAGGCACCTTGATAGGGGCCTCGAGCTTAGGAGTTGCAGTCATTCGAGATGCTCCGGACGATAACTACCTCTTCAGGTACTCATTGCGGTCATGGTGCCGCCATCAGCAGCGAGCAATCGTTCTTAAAGGGTCCGATGTATCAGCCCACATCAATCGAAGGTCAGTAATAACATCACGAAAAGCGTTATCGCATCGTAAAAACATTCAGTATCGTGGTGATGACGCTGATCATTTGTTTGTGGTGGGGTTGAGCCGCTTTTGCTATCACCGGCCTAATATCCCACCGTAAGATGGAACTAACCGGAAACAGAACACGGTGGGAACGGCGGATACCGAGAGCTAGCAAAAACCCTCCGAGGATGGTTTCCCATTAGTTTGCTGACCAGTGACGCGCTCACCCTCGCACTGGGACTGATTGTTTTGAGCCTCAGCCAACTTCCCTCTCCCCCAATTGCTCACTCTCCTTGCCGTGCAGCCCGAACATTGATCCATCCTTTCTTCATCCGACCCCCCACTACCCCAAGACTCCGACCGGGTTCTGTGTAACCCTGTATACAACCATGGGTACCTCCACGATCCATCCGTCGCAAAGGCGGCTGTCCTGCGATGTCTGCAAGCGGCACAAGACGAGATGCCTGCGTATCAAGCAAAACGACCCAAAATGTGCGCGCTGCACTATGCTCGACGAAGAATGCAGTATTGGCGGGCCGAAGAAGGTCGGAAGGCCGAGGAAGTCGGATTCAGCGACTGGTCAGCGCAAAGACATTGGGCAACCCCAAGCCAAGTTAGTTCGCTCGCAGAAGAAACAGACGACTGCAAAGAACCAGCAGAGAGAACCAATACCTTTGAGCGCGTCTCCAGACCCAGACATCTTCCTGGCGAGCATGATGTTCTCACCAGTACCTATACCATCAACCACAACGTCTATAGCGACGCCACCATTTGTTGAAACCACTACAAACGTTGTCTTTACCCCCGAGTCATCGTGGCCCACTCCTGGGACAGCTGAACCGCAGACTTCGTCACTCCCTCAGCGACTGCCGCCGAAGATCTCAAGTTGCTTCAAGCATAGCTCCGCCTTTGCCGACTACGACTGGAACATAGACGAGAACGACGTGTCAACAACGAAGCCAAGTCAGCTCGGCCTTACAGTCATATGCTCCGACCCAGCACGCCTGGTGATCCCAGAGCTCGGATCCCCTACGGGCAGTATCGAGCTGTCCGACGCCTTATCGCAGCTGTCCAAGCTCAACAACGACTTACACATCCGAATGGCTGCCATAGAAACCCATCGGTCCGTCATGACTCTAAGCAGCATCCTCTTTCGCGAAGGCCCGCTCTTCATCGAGAACCTCACGCTCGGAGAGTTCACGTTGGGGTCAACACAGGATCTCTTTGAAGTGCTATCACGGCTTCTCAATAACCGAAGTTGTCATGCGCCACTTGAAACTGCGCACATGCTCGATATCGTGAACCTGCCAGGGCTGGACGGTCAGTCTTCCTCGCCACATTCCTACGGAGATGGACATAATGGATCAAGCCCCAGCTTTGCCTCCACGATCCCGTCCACCTCTCTGCAGCCGCTACTCGCACCCCTTGTCTTGACAATCACAGGCGTCTTCACCCAGCTCATATCCCTCCATGAGGTTCTCCTCAAGCACATCACCCTCTGGCTCACTGCCGAACCCCTCAGGCCCATCTCGGGACTCCAATTTGGTGAGGCCTCACCACAGGATCTCTGCGCGCAGGGCGTTCGTTATTCTACCGCCTCCCTCAGCTTCCTGGAGAGAATTGAACAGATCCTGGGCATCACCGGGCTGCCCGAGTGGGGAGAGCCAGGTTTACTGTCGATGCAGCAGATCGATGTGCTCTGGAGCGTGCTAGACGCCGGCGAAGGCATCGCTCCGGGCCATGGCTTTATGCGGCCGGCGTATGTGAAGAGGTCGCTCTGGAAGGCATTGTCAGTCATGAGTCGAGTCGTGCCTCCGTAAGTGGCTCCGGAAGACGAGCTGAGACAAAACCATTGTAATACATATTATGTACAATAGAGAAGAAAATAACGATACCAATACAAGAATCAAGTAAATTATGCTGCAGGTATGCCTGGTTGTTCAGGCCTGACATGTAAGCAGTAAATAAAACCTTTATGCAGTCATCCGTGTTCCCCTCCTCTCCTCACTACAAGGAACTTCTCTGCTCTAGCATATTATTTTCCTTCGTGACTAATTCCCAATGGAGGTTGATGGCAAATATCGGCAAAGCCTTTGTCCGACCTGTCAATCCATGCTCTCTCAAGAACCTACTGGATTTTGGAACGCGGCCCAAGGACAAACATTTCACGCTTTCAAAGACGCCGTGGGCAAAGGATGTATTATTTGTTCATTACTATGGTCAGTGACTAGCGAGTACCATAACACATGGATCGAATCACCAGAGCATTGGAAGCCAGTGGATCTCCGGGCTCGTCGCCGTGGGGTTTCTTTTAGCAAAGTGCAAAGCGTCGATTTAGTGGCTTCTTATGAGAGTCCTTTTGCACGTCCAACAAAGGCTATTAGCTTCAGCATTTATCCTTGGAACGGTATGTCTTGACACTAAATAGGGAGAGAAGGCGCGTCGCTAAATTATACTACTGTTATATGCAGCAATAACCCAGAAGCTTTGCGTTCAATCCTTAAAGCCAAGGCTGGCTGTTGAGAACGTTTTCACACTTGGCTCATCGTGGCTCATCGAATGTCAATCGTCACACCCCAGATGTACTAGCGCATACCGTCCAGCACCAGAATGGCTGCCTACTAGGCTGCTTGATATTGGTGAGGAAGGCTTGAACACCTGGAAAGTCTGTGTAACAGCACAAGACAAGATACCAGCGCATCAAGCTCCCTATATCGCCCTCAGCTACCGATGGGGTCCGACCGCCGGGATATGCCTACGGTCTTTGAATTTGGAACGGTTTCGCATCCTCGGCCAATTGCACATCTACCAATTCTTTTCCGGGATGTTATCAAAGTTTCTCGACGCTTCTCTGTCCGATATCTATGGATTGACGCTTTATGTATAATGCCAGACTCGAAAGATGATTGGGAAAGGGAAGCGCCCACTATGCAGTACGTGTACTCAAACTCTGTCTTCACCATCGCTGCCACAGGATCTGACAGCCCGGATGACACGTTGCTACACGCCAGAGACCTAGACCTTGTTAAAGTTGGCAAGGCTCAGTGCTCGCTGTTCTCGGACGAGCCTCAACCGTGTATCATTTATGACAGCGCGTACTGGGAGAGGCAGTTATGTGAAGGGCCCCTATATAATCGAGGCTGGGCCTTCCAGGAGCGGTTTATATCACCACGCGTGATGCATTTCGGTCGACATCAGATGCTCTAGGAGTGCCGCTCACGACATCGATGCGAGACCTTTCCCGAAGGGATTCCCGACCGCGAAGCAACTAAAGAACTTGATACTCTCATGGAAGTACAGGACAATACGCAAATGACTGATGATCTGGCTCACCTCTGGTGTCGCCTTGTTCAGGAATACTGCGAGTGTAGCCTCACATTCCCATCAGATAAACTCCATGCAATGGCAGGTATTGCGAAGCTTTTTGAGACTGTCACAGGGGATGAATACGTGGCTGGCTTATGGAGATCGCGGTTCATTGAGCTATTGCACTGGTCAGCAGCTGAGGTCAAGCCTCTTCAATCTACAGATTATCGAGCTCCATCATGGTCTTGGGCATCGATAGATAGTCGTATCTGGTACTGGGCGCGAAGTTCCCGGGCGACAAACCTAGCCGACCTGGTGGACATATCTGTTCTGAATCAGACATCAGACAGGATGTCTACAGTTCTAAGCGCCTGCGCTGTGGTAAGAGCCAGAGTGATACCCGCTGCCTGCAAGTCAGTAGGGATGGAAGGTGTCACGTTCCGATGCCACAATAACGAGTTCAAGGTTGATTTCGACCCAGATACGACTAGCAGTGAATTGATTGCTGGCAATGAGTATGCATATATGCCTTTGATATTAGACTACAACAGTTCTGCTGCTGACAAGTCGTCAATGGAGCGCAATGGTTTCTGTCTGATACTGGAGCGGGATCAGCAATCTATCAGCGGTCTCGATCGATATCGCCGATTGGGGTCTTTCCACGTTAAAGAAGGAGAGTATTGCGACAATGTCGAAGACATTTTGTATTGTACTAAGTTTACCGAGATTGAGATGATTTAGGGAGCCGAGTAAAACAGACATTAATACATGGGATGACATAAAATGATTGATATAGAAGCACTTATTGAATATTGAATATTCCATGACTGGAGCTTATAGCGCTACTGCCTTCGGCAGTTAGTGGAGGCTTCTCAGAGATGGGACCACCGGCGTGCCCTATAAGGCTCAGTGGAGCATCCTTGTTTGCTACACCCAACCAACGTCCAACCTCTTCTGGCGAGGTCTCTGAGCCTGCAGCTTGGTTGCACTCGGACCCATAAGCCGACTTCGGCATTTACGGAATTCGTCTGATCTTCTCGGCACCGTGGGCTTCAGTGTTTGTGTCAAAGTGCCGAGAGGCGATTCCGGAGACCCGGATAACACTGGTCGAGCGGTGAACTATCGAATGTGGCTCAAGGTATCTCTTGCCAAGTGACTACTGCTGATACATTTGTAGCATTCAAATCCCAACCGTTTACTCCAGCTGAATAACTGCGGATGTCAATTTCCAAAAGAGACCGACACTGCATTAAGAATCTTACGTGGCCTGCCGTCTCACGAACGCCACCTTTCAGCATCTCCTCTTCCAAGCCATATCTGTTTCACTCACAGTCAGTCAATTGGCGCCCAGAGGTACGTCTCTCATCAGCCTTTTTCACCAAAGTACCAGAGCTGATCTCGTCATACCAATAAATTGGCTTGGCGTTCTCACATCAGATTTTAAAGGGGCTCTAGCGAGGCCCCAACTGTGCAACCAACCTCGTAATCTTAGCCCTGTAATTGGAGCACATCACAATTGCGGCTTACCATCGTTGAAACCATCTAACCTCTTTAGGGGTAGCTAGCAAAAGCGTTGAATTAATTGTCTCAGTTTGTTATCTCCGTGTTGACTCTCTCTTAAAATGCCCCAGGCCCGCTTTGACTGTGACAAGCTGGGCGTGTTCACTTTATTCCAATTTTGTGTGAGAAATTGCGGACATGTCGTTGCTTGACGCTCTAGACTCGTCGTCAACGAGGATCCTATTAGGATGTCTCTTATTAGCAGGCATCGTCTACACCCTCTACCGCTCAATGCTACCCCGTCCCTTAGCGGACATCCCCTATAACGTCTCTGCGACCAATCGCATCCTGGGCGATCTCCCCGACGTCAAGAAATTCGGGAGCTTGACCGACTGGTTAGCGAAACAGGCTATTCAACACCAATCACCGCTATTCCAGGCTTTTATCCGTCCTTTTGGGAAGCCGTGGGTTGTTGTCGCTGATCATTATGAGGCCGCTGAGATTTGCACGCATCGGGTGAAGGAGTTTGATAGAGGGACGTCGAGCACTGCTATTTTTCATTGTGTTGTGCCCGGGGCGCATATCACGCTTACGAGCTCGGATCCGCAGTTTAGGAAGAATAAGGAACTTGTAAGGAATTTGATGACCCCGTCGTTCTTGTCAGAGGTGAGATGGTATTACTGAGGTTAGTGATTAATACTGACTTGGTTGAAGGTATCTGCGCCCGAAATTTACGACAAGTTTTCTCGGTTGGTTGAGCTCTGGAGTATGAAGACTGAGCACGCCAATGGTCAATTCTTCTCGGCTTCAAAGGATGTACACAACGCCGCGCTTGATATCATCGTGTGCGCCGCTTTTGGCCTCGACACTCAACATACCCAACTCGTCAAAGAAATTCAAGAACTGACACCAGACAACAACACCTTATCAGCCAAGGTCGACGGCGAAGTTGCGTTCAAAGAACTCCCTCTTAATGAAGAGCTCAACGCCCTAGCTACTGTCGCTGAGAGCGTCGCCAAGATCATCAAGACGCCTTCGCCGCCGCTATTCCACTGGATGTATCGAACCTTTTCAACGAAACTGAAGCACGCCTTTGTCCTTACCAAGCAATTGCAACAACGAGAAATCGCCAATGGCATTAAGAGAAGAGCAAATGGAGAGGCTATGAAGTGTGCGCTCGATGAGATTTCTGTTCGAGAAGAGGCGCTGGCGAAGAAGGAGGGGAGAGAGCCTGATTATTACTCTCAAGTGATTACCAGTGAAGTAAGCGCCAGTGCCCAATGTAAGGCGATGAAGAGAATCGCGCTAACACGTATCGCCAGTTGATGACTTACCTGATCGGCGGCCATGAAACAACCTCCTCAGCTGTGCGATGGGGCCTGAGCTATCTCAGTGCCGAGCAAAGAGCTCAGTCCGAACTTCGCTATGCCCTTCAGCAAGCCTATCCACAAGCTAAATCCGAGAGACGTCCGCCTTCACTCTCTGAGATCCTCCAAACTCGTGTCCCTTACCTCGATGCAGTCGTCGAAGAGATTCTTCGCTTGTCGTATCCTTTTGGCATGACTCTCCGAGAAGTCCAAGTCGATACACAGATCCTAGGTGCTCGTGTACCAAAAGGCACAACAGTCGTCTTCTTATCAAACGGCCCAAGCATATTATCCCCTCCAATCGACTTTGATGAATCACGAAGTAGTGAGTGGGTCAAATCTCGCAAATCAAAGCCTTTGGAGAAGGATTATGACTACTCGAGTTTCAAGCCTGAAAGATGGCTCAAGACAGCTGCTGGCCCGGACGGGAGAGAGGACGTGAGCTTCGATTCTCAAGCTTTCCCTATTCAAGCTTTTGGGTTGGGTCCGAGAGGTTGCTTTGGCAGGAGGATGTCGTATCTTGAGATGAAGATCTTTTTCACTCTCGTCATCTGGACGTTTGAGTTGTTGCCGTTGCCAGCTGATGTTGCGAAGCCGAAGCCAGTTTCGTCTTTGACTAGAAACCCCGATAGAGTGTTTATCAAGCCGCGAAAGGTAGTGTTGTGAAGGGAAAGTTAGAATGATATAAACATATATAAAATAGATAGACTGTTATGCTATGCTGATGCAGCGCTTATGCTTCTAGGATATCCCGCTGCAGACCCATAAAACACTGCCAATGCCGAATCAACTGATAAAACTTCCAAACGCCGTCATCTCGACCTCCCCGTCTCGCTTACACTCCCAAACTTACCGACCTTCGTCGGACTAGGTTCACTCAACAAGCCCCCTGTATCATGCAGAATCAAATCATCCGGCTCGACCAAAGTAGTACCATCAGTCCGCGACATCTTGATGGTTGCCAGAGATCTTTGCACAAATATTCCCTCTGTGCTGCTGCTTGAGCCTTGGGGTAGAATGTTCCATGACCTCGCTCGTGCTGCGATGGCGCGGAAGATTGGTTGCATGTGAGGCATACAGGCTACCAAGATGCCAACGCCGCTTTCGATATTGGACCATACGACAAATCCTTGTGCGTCGGCTGTTGTTTTGACCATTAGAGTAAGAGGTTGGTGAGAGTGGGGAGTACCTACATGATGCGTTCAAGGTTCTTGTGAAGTCAAGTAAGTAGGGGATGCGGATACAACTGGCTGCAATGAGACTGACAAAAGTTAGATAATAAACGTCATAAGGCGCAAATGGAAGTCTTACAAGATTCCAACACCAAATATCACCATGACACCAGCCTTCTTCTTCGGCTGAAGACCCAAAGAATACAACTGCGTCAGCGGTAGCGCAAACATCCAGATATCAAGAGCAATGTTGACACCAGCGTGAAAGAAGATGATTGCTGGGATATTTAGTGTCTTCCCGCGAGGTGGGTAGTCTTTCCATCCATCCCAGAGTAAGTGAATCGGTTGTCGCTGTAGTGCGCCGCAGATGGTGACGATGATTGTTGTGACAATGTTGAAGGCGATGGTATATTTGATGATCAATCTGAACTTTGGATCGGGAAATGTTCGGAGGAAGAAGTAGAGTATTGAGAGTTTGATGAGGCAGAGACTTAGTACGTAGGCGTATTGAACTACGAGGAGATACTACATCTGTTAGATAAGGCTAATGGGTTAGTGTATGGACTTACTATCTGAAAAGTGGTGATGGTGCTGTCATCGAGTGTCCAAATATTCCGGCCCAAGCCCGCAAATGTCACTGAATAGAGTCAAAAATGAGCGGGCAGACATTTATATGATATGGAACTCACTCAGGCCCATGATGATGCATTGAACCCCGGTAAAGACCTAGAATGTTAATAAATCATTATGACGCATCAAAAATAGCCTTACCGACGCCGCGATAATGAGGTAATCGTCAGCACCCCATTGAGAAAAGCGATACGATTTCGTGACAGTTCGCAGGACGATTGAAAACACTGCTATTCCAAGGATCGTGTAGTTTATGCCCCTAATGTTGTGATCATTGTCGAGCTCCGGTCTGCCGCAGTTCGTCTGCTCAAGCTTGAGAAAGTCTATTCAGTAACCGTCAATATGAGTCGCCTGATCCTTGCAGAGCCGATCATGAGGGTTTCTCACCAAACAAGTCTCGTATGGGGCATGACATGTGGATACAGCTAGCTACCGTATTGCTGAGTTTATGGTCGTAGCATATTCGTTCTTTGTTAGCGGTCGAGAATGTCGGCTTATCCACGAATCGCGAGAAACATTTGATCTACAACAGATTAATAAACCCATACCCCGAGATTGGCGGAGTATACGCACAGCACATTGCGACGCGTCTTCTAGTCGTTGATCAGTAGTCGGTGAACTAGCGCCGACCTGCGGTAACATACACGGTAAAATGAGAATAAACAAGCGTAATATCGCGAATAGCTTCATGGTGGTCTACCGCGCAAGCGAAACATCAAAGAGAAAAGCACCCCAAGAACTTTAAACACACGGGGTAGACTTGTCTCATTAAGAATTAAGGGGCACGGACTAAGTTGGTTTCGAAGGTGGTTTTGCTTTGTCGACGCTAAGTCAAGCATACCATGTCGATTGGTCTGGATTAGACGAGATCTCCGTACTCTAAACCAATTGGCCGCCAATGAGGCTGCTCGTCACACCGAAAGGAGCTAGGCGGGGGGATCTTCATGGGATATGCTTATGCATTCCAGGGGTTACAGATTAGGCTTATTTTTGCTACGCTTTTGACGGGGAGATTGGCGGGGAGGGCTTGGCAGGGCCTGATTTGGCGTTTGGCTTGTCTGTTGGTGGTGAGTATGAGTCTTGGCTGCGGCAATGTTGCCGGCAGGGCGAGTCATTGGACAAGCACGGTGTCTACTTGCGATGGGTATGATCTTATCGGTATCTGGTATACTACTAATAAGATGTGCGGCTTGAGTTAAAGCGGTTCACAGCTACGCTGCAGACTGTAGGTCAGCATATTGAAGATGTGTTTCACAGATGTAGAGTCGGGCCAAAGTCCGGTGAAGTACCTATATTGACGCAGACGCCTCTAGTGGCTGACGGACATGCCGGATATTAGTTAGAGGCTGTAGGGTTGAGATATTCGGATGCCGGCTGAACTTTGTTGTTCATGGAATGAAGGCTTTGCGGATCATTTATTTCCGTTGATCCACTTCATTTCCGGGGACGATAAGGCGGATTCGAGACCTTGCACCTCTCTAGATCCGGCATGGCGCTTGATCTACTCCGTAGAGGTGTTCACTTTGCAGAGAGGGTCAGACGACACGTAGAGGTTTTATGATACGATATCTGAGATTTGAACTAAAAGTTTCGATGACTGTTGGTAGTGGAAGTGATAAAAAATGAGGTGAGGCCAGACGTTCGCAACAAGGTGCGCTGTTTAGATTCTGCCAGATCCGCCACCAAATTCCACTGATTGAATCACATGCTAACGCATGGGGTATGCGGGCGATATGTAGTCACGTTGTTGTTAAAAGAAGGTCTAGTATTGGATATTCCAGTAACAGAATGGTCTTAATTCGTATTTGGAAGCTGTAGTCAATTCTGTAAACGCTGTTGTCAAAAACCCCAGGTCTAGGGTTAGCAACATGGATCAGAGGCATTAGATAAGCGGGAAATTCGCATCGTCAGCGGGAAATCTCTAGTGGAGACATTTGGCGATCCAATCAAAGTTTGATTCAACGCTACCAAGTCTCGACGAACTGGAGCTGCTAACATCAAATTTGTCCAAGCAACCGATAATTATGGAAACGGTTCCGAATATGTGGAGTTTTAGATCTATATAAGTCTTGTCTTTCCGGACCTCGGCATTCCATCGAGTCCGAAATTGAGGCAGTATTTATTTGAATTGTCTCCCTTTTTCAGCACCTTAAGATCTGTTGGCAAAACACCAATCATGTCCCGGATATCGCCTCTTTTTCGCCAACGGCTAATCCTCGCAGCGAAGGTCGCAATCGGAGTCTCAGTCACTGGTGCAGCAAGTTTTCATCTCGTCACAAGAAAATGCTACTTTGAACCCTTTGGACCGGAAAACGGCAGATTGTTGTATGAGCATCCGCTGCTGAAGCAGATCAATCCTTGGAATAAACCGGGTTCTGCCGACTCATGCGTGAGAGAAGTGCCGTTTGATAAGCTGGATAAGGTGCTTTTGGAGGATGCGAAGAACGGAGGAACAAAACTGGTTGAGAGATTCATTGCAGGAATGTGGGGAGGTTTTGGTAAGGTTCACGAAAGACATGTTTCAGCTGCAGTGCTGACGATGAACAGGATTTGGGATCCAGAGAAGAATTATGACATTCTTTAAGAACGAGACGAACAAGAACGACTTATGGGAGAAGAAGGATCTTCTAGCATCTACCTATGAACCTGGTATGTCATTGCTAATTTCCCGGTTCCCTCTTCTGACACGCCACAGGCACATATTTCACCAACCATTTCGTTGTCCTATCAAAAACACCAACATGTATCACGCTGAGAGGCTGCTTCGATCCCCACCAGTCACCTCCTTCGCCGATGAACGTTGATAACCTCGTTGAGATTCGCGCAGAGCTCGATGACGCAAAGAAAGTGGCCGTTCTCAAACTTCAGTGCATCACGTTTGATGGGAGGAAAGAAGCGAGTGACAAGGAGGATCCTTTTGGTGGAGTTGGGGGATGGCTTCACAGACGGTATTCTACGTTACTTGTGGAATCAGGAGCCAGGAACTGCTTAGAATGAACATTCTCTTCATGCTACACCACGGACTTTGGGTTGGTTCCAAGACCCTTCCAATCTGCATTAGGTCAGAAAGCTTCATCATAATGGCTCCACCCATACTATTATAATTATGTACAATATTCAGTCACACCACTCATAGCTGCAACTACACATCAGCGCTTGCCTCTACCATAGCCTAGTCAGCTTACTAACAACTGTTTCCAACTACCACTAGCCTTTATCGATAGCATCGACCGGCACTGCAGTATTTCGCAGTATTCTTGCAGCACTCCTTCTTGCAACACTTCTTAGTGCGGCAGCAGAAATTACCAATCGAGCACTTTCGGGGGAACTTGGCGGGACAGACTTTGGCAGCGAGTTGGAGAGCCTCGCCGTGGGAGAGGCTGTAGCCGTCTTCGCCGGAGGTAGAGAGGTCAGGGAGACCCTCGGCAGTGCTGATTGCGGGGCCAGCGGCGGCAAAAGGGATCAGAAGTAAAAGAGCGGTGGTGACCTTCATGATGAGAGTCGTGCTTGGAAGCTTTGTGTCAATTGGTTCAGAGATGTTAAAGCGAAGCAGCTTGGTGGCTCGTGAGAGCGAGAAGCCTAAAGGACCTGCGGAAGTCGGGGTATTTTATAATCATCGGACACACCGAAAAATTGGATTCGGGTAAGATTGCGCCGCTACTAATTGCAGGTGGCCATCACACGGCATACATCGACCTGTCCGCCGCGGTCTCTACAGTCGTGCCCCTCGCGCTCCTAGCTCAAAACGGCATGGTGATGCCCATGAGGTTACATCAAGGGGCATAAGGCTAGTTTCATATAGAGTCCTGGGCGATCACAGTCCACTATTCGATTAAAGCTGAAAGTTAGCTTCATCTGTGCCGTCTGACTACAGTTCTTAGCTTGCCTAGTTGGCAGTTTGCAGGGTTGTGAGTGGTACGGCCGGAATCAATTAATAACTCAAGCTTTTCTGCTTCGATCCTTCGATGATGTTGGGCATTAAAAAGGCGTCTCGACTGGTCCATGTGATTTTTTTGGTTGGGATAATAGGAGGAAGCTTAAAGTGAAGCTTCTCCACAAATTACGATCTGATCCGAATAAGAATTGAGCGGTATTTGTTCGAGGCAAGTGACTGCGAGTGACGCAGTCTGTGACAAAGGTATTGATAATGTTATATCTGTTATCTGAATGATGAGCCCATTGGTTTGTAGAAGCTCTAGCTTCGCCCCCTCAATCATGTTCCCCTTCTTTGTTCTTCATTCAATAACGGACGATTACTCAGCGATCCAACCTCCGCACCACTGCGATGCCACAGAAATCTTCATTGTTCTCCTTCAACATTGACATGGAAAAGGCTGTTCATATAAACTCCTCCGATGGCCTTTCTCAACTCGACTATTATCTTTGAGGCTGGGGGCAAGCGATATGTCACAACAGAAGCCATTGCTGTACGTTCGTCCTTTCAATACCATATGTAATTTACATCTGACCCATTGACCTAGTTCCAGTCCCAAGATGGCACTCCCTTGAAATCTCAACCCGTCACCGTCTTCGCAAATCATAGCGGTGTACCCCTCAGCAAAGAGTGGCTCAAAACATATTTAAATAAGCTGGTTGGCTGTGATGTTTATGATAGTAAGCTGTTCCTTTCAGGTGTCATAATCACTACCCCGCATCGTGGCCAGACTGTGCCTCAAGATCCTTGGGATTACCTGAAGGAACTAGGAATGAAATGGCTCGAGATTGTCGTTGAAGGCGGCGGAAAGCATCTTCCCACAGGTCCTTACTTCTACACCGATAATAAGCTTCACTCCGTCTGTCGTTTGTATGATGATGAAAAAGGAGCTTTTTTCTCGGGGTTAGTTCCAAAGCTAGATCTGTAAGTAACTTGTTCATTGAGACCTCTGCCTTCCGCTGACATGGATAAAGTCGCCTTTGACAGCGTTTGAGCAACTCGGTGTTGCAAGTACCTCCAATAGCTGCCTTGCCATAGCCGTTCCGTCCAGAGCACCAACTCTCGTTACCAACACCCCGCCAAACTTGCGTGTTGCAGTAAAAGACTGTTTCCTCGTCCACGGCATGAAAACATCGCTCTGTAACAAGGCTTACTACGGATGCCGTTGACTATCCGACAGCCTTTAATCCTAGAGGGGATGGGTATCAATCTCCTGCCGGGAGTAGTAGTGGAAGTGCTGCTGCTGTTGCGGCTTATGACTGGCTTGACTGTGCGATCGGCACTGATACAAGTGGAAGTGGTCGTCGGCCAGCATTGGCGAATGGCGTTTGGCAATTCAGACCTTCTCATGATTCTGTATCTTTGAGGGGTCTGGTTAAGACTTATGCCATTTTTGATACGTCTTGCGTCTTTGCGAGAAGTGTCGATGTTATACGACGCGTTGCACGAAGTTGGATTGCGGCTCCGTCGCTTGACAAGAAACGGCCATATCGTCTCATCTATCCACTAGACTACCTTCCAACAGAAAACCCAGAACAGATGAAGATTATCGACTCTTTCATACGAGATGTTGAGACTCATCTTCCAGCTACTGTTATCCCACTCTCTATCAGAAGCTCTTGGCAGCAGTCGCACCCGCCAGGGACTCCAGCTGATGTGGAAGAGTATCTCAAAGATGTCATCCGGGCAACATTTTACCATCAATTTTACCATTCAACTGAAAACTTCAGACAGCTATACGCCGAGAGACACGATGGCCAGCAGCCTTATGTAATCCCCTTTGTTCAACGAAGGTGGGCTCTCGGTGCCTCTGTTTCTGACGCCGAGCATGAAGAAGCTACGCGTCGCTTACTTGTTTACAAAAAGTGGCTTCGTGATCAATTGTTCGGGGACGAGAAATTTGAGACGTTGGTCATTCTTCCTGTCGCCGAAGTTAAACCTAGCTATCGAGACGAGAAGGTCGAATCACCCGAAAACCAGTCTGCACGTGATGAGCTTTTTCTCTCACCTATTCTTGGGGCACCCGATGTCGTTATACCAATCGGAGATATGTCATATCATTCAAAAATCAGCAACAAGATTGAGTATCTGCCAGTAGTGGCCAACCTTGTCGCCGCACCGGGTCGACACCATGAGCTTTTGGAGGCGGTTCAAGTAATACTTGAGAGGTCTAAACGGCCCAAGGTAGTTTCTACAGGGTCCAGGATAGGTAGTCCAGGATATGACAAGGTCAGCTTGAGATCTTGAATCTGCCAGTGGAATTTCTCTGATGCAGTCAAGATTGACCTAAATAATGGTTTTGGGCTATTTCGCCTCATTTGGGCGCCTGTGCTCAACGGTTGATGAGCCGAAGTGCCTACTAATCCTGATGCAGGAAGTTCATATTCTTAATAGCTACCTATACATGCAACAGTAGTATAGCAGTCATATATAAATTTAAATAAGCTTAATAAGTTTAGTAAGATATAAAGATTTTCTATAGTATGTAAATAAAAACTCAATTAAGTAAGTTAATATTAAGCTAATAAGATAGAGCTAGGGTTTGTATTACATAGAGTAACAATGGGGGGAAAATAGACACTGCTTTAGGATTCCATGAAGATCCCAAAACAAACAAGAGATCCATCGTGAGACCCAGAGACAAAACGATATGCAGCAGGAAGTATATAAAGAAGCTCCAAAATAAACCACCTGTCATTTCCATACATTCCATCCCGCCATTCTGCCCTGGATGTAATACACACAGAGAAGAGGCTATAAAGGAGATCAAGGCCGCAATATTGCCTGAGATAATAAATACTTGGTATACGATGAAAAGGGAGAGTATCTTCCGAAGCTTTGAGGCTGTAGTTTCACGCATTTTAACAAGAAGCGTAGACCATGAAACAGAGCACATGGGCTCTATAAGGTGCTTTATGGTAACCCTATGTCCCAAATCAATGAATGAGCTAATCTTAGTAGTCGGGGCTAATAGTTACCAGTTCAAACGCCCGCCCGCGGATACAATTTGAATGAAATTCCATATCGCAAGACCCTCGAGAACCAGGGCCCCCAGTATTAGAGTCGCCAAACATTCGGGGCCATCCGATAAAAGGTATATCGCTACTGGGTTACATCTCGGTGCATTCAGAGATGCTTTTGTGTTCATTTCAACTGCATTCAGGGTCCTTGTTTGGAGATCGGGCTGAGGGTGAATGCTTATGGCTGGAGACCTCTGAGTGACAGATATGTTGGGTTTGTTCTAGGTACGTTTAAGTAAGGTACGTTTTCATTAGTAAGGAAAACAGATAGAACATACCACTGTTGATAAATCCTGGCTATTATCCGTTTGTACATGTAAGTCTCTGTAATATCTTGCCAGAGGGCCATTACCATCTCCATCCTGATACTCGTCCTCATCTGTGTGGAGTTCAAAATCCGGATTTTCACGAAGATTGACGGTAATGGTTTTAATAGTTATCCAGTAAAAATAAGATGCCCAGAGAAGGCCACAAAACGACATTGCAGCAACGGCTAAAAGGCAGCATTGACAAATTGTAGGAATTTTAGAGGTGAATCGGAGGACGAAGGACACAGAAGCTAGGAGCAGGGACTGATTAACCATGAATTGTATGACCTTTAGAGGAAAATAAAAAGAATGAAAGTAGAAGAATATGCCAAAAAGAAGAGGAAGCTGAGAATAGTTTGGTCCTCCTTGAGAATCAGCGACAAAAAGACAAGATATGAACCCTAAGCTTAGCTCTAGATTGATAAAATCAAGAGTTGTCTTCAGAAACGTACTCGGCCAAATCTTGGGTATCTGGAGATGCCGATTTCGAAGCTGTTCGCCTGACTCATCATCAACGCCTTCCCACCATGCGCCCATAATGAACAAAGAATACTAAAATACCGTCGTCTAATCAAGAGTGGCGGCAGTTTTCTTGCCAGAAGCTACGAAGAGGTCTCTTTGCAGAGGTTGTGATGGCTCAGCTGAGAAGTGCGGGGTATATATCCAGAAATGTCCTCCAGGCTTGCAGCTTGTGACGTGTCGTGTCGTGATTGGAGTTATTTTGCTGGCGTACTAATCAGGCGGTGAGGGAATAGTATGCAAGCCGCGCCAGCAGCTGAGAACTCAACATAAATCAGCAGTGGTGAGACCCTCACATGTCGTATAGCAACATTTGCCACCACTCATCATGCCTCTCTGTTCAGCCTGTAACGCTTTAGACATGTTCTCTTGCCCTTCTTTCCCAGCTTCCTCAAGAAACTTCGAGACAATTCGAAAAAATGCCTCCCTCGGATGTGATCTTTGTACTCTCATCTTCAGTGTTGCCTTTGATCACGTTCTTTTCATTTCAAAAGAGCTAGATCTCAAGAATACTTCCAAGGCCAACTTGAAGACTGAAGATCGTGACTTCACGGTCCATCTCTGGTTATCAGGCAATGGAGTGTCGGTGCAGAAGCCGCTATATAACAAACTATTGGTGACGGTTACTGGAAAAGATGAAAGTTGGCCCGACCAAACGTCTATTCTGACGTCCCGACAAACCAACTTTCCACACGAAATTTGCGTGGCTGCAGATCCAGGTCTGTATCCATTCTTAACCAAAATCCCACTATCTGACATAATCAGAGAGCCCGGCTTATCGATCCGGAGTGATTGGAGGAACTTACCTCGGCGTGAATATGGCAGCCCCCGAATATATAGCTGCCTTAAGTGAATGGCTTCACGATTGCCTCTCCAACCACGCAAGATGCCACTTCGCTATCTCCAGCAGTACACTATTCAACCCTCGATCAATAGAGCTTCCTACTCGCTGCATTGAAGTCACGCCAACTGCTGCCTACTTGAGAGATACGCAGGGGACCATTGGAAGCTATGTCGCTCTAAGCCACCGTTGGAATCCGGAAGCTGAGGCCGTAAAGACTACATCAGCCAACTTTCAGCAACGCATATCTGGGACAGAGCTAGGGCGACTTTCCAAGACCTTTGAAGACGCCATCACGATCGTGCGCAAACTGGAAATCCGATATATATGGATTGACTCTATCTGCATCATCCAAGGGACTGACGACTGGAACCAGGAGAAGTTCAAAATGGGCCAATATTACGAACGGGCTCTATTCACTATTTCCGCCATAGGAGGTTACATTCAAGCCGGAAAAGATTCCGGTATTCTCAAAGCTCAACCACCCAAATCACTCGTCCGTCTTGCTTTCAAAGAAAACAGTATCCGAAAAGGGTCGGTATTCCTGTATAGACGTGACGATAAGGCCTTGTTTCTGACTGATGTTGCACGGAGCGAACTAATCTCACGCGGCTGGGTATTCCAGGAGAGGCTTCTTAGTAAACGTATCATTTACTTTACTAACAAAGTGAGTTTCTTGGAGTGCTGTTCCGAGGCACCGCGAAGTTTCTGTAATGATATGATTACGGAAGTCCCACAACCCTTGGAGGAAAAATCGTCTTCAAATGTCTCTCGAATGCTACCCGCCGATTCACTAAAGGTCAACCTTGCCTGGGACTATGACCCACTGACTATGTGGTACAACATTGTAACAGGATTCTCAAAAACCGTCCTTACGCAACAGAGCGACCACCTTGCAGCTATATCGGGGGCAGCTTTTGAGTATGGAGGGGCTATCGAAAGGAAACGGCTAGAAAAAAGCGACAAGAGATGGAAGAGTACGAAGCCTACACAACATTACCTCAGTGGACTCTGGCTAGAAGATATTCATTATGGCTTGATGTGGTTTGCCGTCGACCACCAGAATCGGGAATGCCCATGCGGTGCTCCTTCATGGTCATGGCTCTCAAACCAAGGCGAAGTTGAGTGGCAGCGCAGGGATGACACGTCTCAGCCTAGCCTCGAGGTCCTTGGAGTAGAATATGAAGAAGAGGCCAATGGAGTTCGCCGCTTGCCAGAAGTTGTTAGCATGACTACCAAGCTTCGTGTCAAAGCGAAGATGCAGCCGCTTCTTATTATGCCAGGCATTCAAGATGCAAAAAGCATGAGCGTTTTGACAGGTGTAAAGGTTCAAGCATCACCGTGTAATCAGTATTACACAATCTGCCACCCAAGCTCACCGGATTGGGCTGGTGGTTGGGCAAAGTTTGAGAGGGACCCGCGAATGGCAGAATTGAATAACAGCTCGTCAGGAATAGGAGCGGCATTAGCTATACACGTTGCATCAAGGCAAGCAGATGACACAGCAGGGCCAATTGAGGACTTTCTGAACCTTCGCAGGACAGTTTATGAAGTGATATTTGTTAAATGCGTTAAGGATCAGACATTTCAGAGGCTAGGGGCAGGATTTACCTGTGACTTGACTATTGCTCGAGGGTTCCAAGCAGTAGAAGACATAGAGATAACTTTAATATAAATACAGCACAATAGTATTATTTAATCTTTATATATAGTATCATATATAACTATATATCTACTTCTGGCTTTATCTGGCAGCAAAGCCTTTTATGGAGGAGCGTCTAGTGTGTCCAGACCGCGGGATCTTTTCGTCTCTTGGCCGATTTGACATTCAGGTAAATGGTAATCCGTGGGTAGACTAGCACTCCCCACCTGTCAAACCGTGGAAAAATGAACAGATATCAGCTATTCACGTCGAAGGGATTACCAACGTTGAGCTCCTGCAGATAAAGTATGGAGCCACCTGGAGAGCCGCGTATGGATCTACCGCGGTAGACCCAGCCAGTACAACAGATTAGACATCAAGGCTGGAGAATATCTCAATTGGCTTGATGTTTGGTTCGGCCAGAAGGTGAAATGTGTAAAGTTCTGATTGAACACTGGAAACGAACTTCGAGAGGTAGGAAGCACGGGAAGTACCAGAGGGGAGTTATGGTTCGCGGATCACCAAGTCACTAGTGTTTACGGGATCAACTATGAACGGCATCCCCCATCGGGTTTGGTGGGTATTATTATTAGATTCAGACCGCTCCTTTTGAAATGAGATTAGGGGGGATGGAATATGAAACCTTTCTTAGCTCAACAACAACATCAAGACTTGCTTTAAGAACTTTGCCTGTAATATCAAGTTGCAAAGAACTTGACCGCGACCAAGTACGAGTGACAGGTTGCATAGGGTGAAACGAAAAGGGATATCTGCCGAGGCTTATGCTTATGGCAGAACATCATTCTCAACACAGCTTGAGGAAGTAGCTGCATGATGGTTATCAAAACAGAACTGCTGACAATATCAAGCTACTCAGAAAACACAGTTCTGGTTTGTTGAGTTACAGGGGTCCTGCCTGGAACCTGGAGATACCCTGACTACCTGTCAGTGCGGCTGAGGGTCTAGATCAACGCCTCGCGAAACTATTGATTCGAGTATCGAATGACAATGCTCAACTACCGAGCCCACGGGCTTTTTGTCGCCCCTCAATTTATTTATAAGAAACAAAGACATTCCCTCGTCGGCCATTTTTCTCTTAGGCTTATAATCTTAGTTCTTTGCCCATTATTCTGCAGTTCTCAGTCGTATAAACACCCTGGTTAAAGATCGTGAATATGGTCAAATTAGCGCTTCTTAGCTGGCTAGCGGTCGCTGCCCCTGCATTCTCCGCACCAGCCGATGTTCTCAGCTCTCTCGATGCACGAGCCTGCACTACCCCCGCAAACACCCTCAAAAACCCGAGCTTTGAGTCGAGTGCCTTTAGTGAGTTTCCCAGCCAAGTATGTTGAGTATCGTCTCTAGCAGGACTAACACACTCAGCACCATGGGTCTTCAAACCGACATACATCAAGCTCGGCAGTGCAACTGTCGTGAAATCCGGCTACAAAAGCAACCACGCAATCCAAGCTGCCGGAACCTCCCGCTACAACGATCCAACCAGCTACAACAAACTCTCCCAGACCTTCAAGATCTGCAAAACAGCGCGCTTCCAACTCTCATGGTCCATGATTCTGCCCAAAAACAGCGTTGCGTACACAGCACCGAGCAAGCCTGGCTTGTTCGTCCAAGCTAAAGCTCCCGATGGCCTGTCGTATTCAATGGGCTCCTTCAGCTTTGACACCAAGACTTTTAGTAGCAATATTTTTACGCCGAGTTTTAAGGGCACGCATAAGGTTGACCAGTGGGCGAATTTTGCGGCGGACCTTCCGAACTCGCAGACTGGGACTTGGACGATTTCTATGGAGTGGTATGTTGCGGGACCTAGCGCGAAGGGGAGCAAGACTTCGACGCTGAAGTTTAAGATGGATAACTTTGTTATCAAGCCCAAATAATTGCTGTTTAATGAGTTACTAGAGTTATGAGAGGCGTGTGCATTTCATCCCTCTGGTTAAATGAACTTTGTAGATATATGATCTATATCTCTTCGCGTCGTTATTACTTCTTGTCCTTGCGTCTTACCAAGCTCTGTTCTTGCATAATTGCTTCTGATTACTCCCAGCCTCTGCCGCTCCAAGAGAGCGCGTTCTTTCGACAATGGTCCTGTGGGTTACATTGGTGTCCTGCCCAAGGGTTGCGTTTTCTCCCTCGTGACTCTCTGATCCCATAGCCCCCCGCTCCAATGCATATGTTCTGCTGGGTCATCCTCCACAATGCCCGACCGTCAAAGGGGCAGTATGAAGAGATTCACTGGCTGTTCCTTTTCTTGTCTCGAGCCTGCTTTCTGAAGAATGCTGGTCGTGAAGGGAGTGAGCCTGTTACCGTTCATACTTCGCACTTGAACGGCTGCTCTACCTAGATCTTCAGTGCCGTTTGTCGCGTTGGCAAAAGAGCTAGGAATAGTTAGACTATGCAGCTGGCCGTTTCTGTCCAGAAACGGGAGGTATGGCGGAGGAGTTGAAGCTCTTTAGAAAGTTGAAGGAGAAGGGCATGTGTTCTTCACTGAAGGTACAAGATGCTTCCAATACGCAGATCGAGGTTGGTGGTTTCTTTTGGATTTAGGAGCCAACCTGAGAAGAATTGCCACAATTCCTGATTATCTTCATTCAATTCCAGCATGTACACCGAATACCTTATTGGAGCGCCACAAAATGCATTTTTAAGCTCTGTCGATCCGCCAACGATGGGGAATTACCTCTTTCGTCTGTACCTGGCTAACTCTAGTCTCTGTATGATGAAATGACGTATGTGATCAACCTGTAGATCTATCGCCACACGATCTCTTTGAAGCCGGAAACAACTTCCTGGGAATGATCTCCAAGTCAGATCAGGTATTTATATGGCAATGACTATCCTGCCCTTTGCATTCGTGACATGCGCGTTACAAAAGTCAAGCGGTAAACCACTTCGAACATGAGACTTGCTACAAAATAAGGTCTCAGCCACAAGCCTCGACTTCAAATAATAACTCACCCTCGCTCATGAGACATCGAACTCTTCTGTCAAAGTCACTTATCGTCTCGAACCAAGCGAAGCCCTTCCAATAAACTACTACGAATCTTTCAGTATGTTGGATCTCAGCATGCTAGACCGGCTCGTCAAGAAGCTCATTGGCGGCGACGAGTTTTATGGCCTCCATGATCCTGAAGCCATTATTGCAAGGGGACGCGAACTCGACCGCAAGCACAGCTACATGTACGGCAACTCTTACGAGAAAGAAGCCCGAAGGAAAGCGGCCGCACTGAGCGCAGGGATCGGGAATAATGATGGTGGCGGTAGTGCGGGATGGGGCAGCTATGCGCGTTAAAATGAACGGATAATGGGCCAGATCCTGCTTGGAGGGACACGCGACAATCCTTTCTCTTGTATCTATATATCAAAGACAAATTTCATACCAAGACAATTTCTGAAACTTGTAGTCCTTCTAACAGCTCTCTTACACGATAAGCGTAGGATCTGGAAGTTGTCTCCAGAGACTCCATGCTTAGCTTTCGTGAAGCATCATCATGCTTTAGACGATGGAAGAACTTGGTGTAGTTGCTCATCTGTAAAGCATCATGGCTTATTCCGACATGACCTACTCGTTCATAGCAATTACTTCCCAACTTCTTGATAACATGAATACCACAGAAGTTATAACTGTCTTCGACGTTCACACCAAGTGGTATAACGAAGCCGCCTATAGCAGGTGGCCATGTTGTAGATGCAGATCCATCTGACGGGCTGTCAGGCTTGTAGTCGTTTACACAAAGCTCTTCGACGCTGATGTCTTCCACTGGTGTGACTGTGTGGCTAACGTTATCATTCCATACGCCCATAGGTGTGATCTTGGTTGGCAGCAAGGACTTTACATCGATTAGAGGAGCTTGTAAGATGATTGAGGACCTCGAGCAGTTCCCCATGTGGCTTGGGCCATCAGGCGTATAACGAACTTTCTGAATGACCACAGACTGAAGTGGACTCCAATTTCCGTCCCACATAACCTGTGACGAGACTGAAGCCCAGGACCATGAAGGGTATCTAGCAAGCCTCGGTTTCTTAATCTTTGGCGTAGGCCAGACCATCCAGAGAAGATCGAGGGGTAGGTGTTTCTCCCAGATACCAGCCAGATACCTATCATCAGGTCGTGTGCGTTGCATACGTTGAGCAACTCCAGCCAGTGCAATTGTCTTATCTGATTCATAGGTAAGGTTGAGTCTGGAGTACTCCTGAACCGACCGATGCCACGTGAACTGGTCACTATCCCGAGGAATATCATTCACGCAGCTAAATAGCGTAGGCTTGAAGCTCTTGTCATCGTTGTAATCTCGGTCATTGCAACCACTTTCACTTCGTTGTGAAGATCGGCATACCCAGATGACTTCCTCGTTGCAGAAGTGCAGAACTCGTGGCGAAAGCATCATCTCTTGATATATCCAGGCGCGATTGAGCACGGGGTAGTTATTGTTCTTGTCTAGTTGCACCCAGTGATTTGGAAAAAGTGGTACCTGTTGGCGGACATAAATATCTTTGTAACCAGGAACCAACTTGGCCACGTATTGATGGCTAGTCTCTGAAAAACAACCTTGGGACCCATCATGAGATTTCGTAGCTGCGATAGTCAAGAATGAATGCTGATAAACGTCTGCCATCTGAGCTGCTTGTTCTTTCCAGTCTTCTGGGCTGTCTTGGATGATGCAAAGAGAGTCAATCCAGAGGTAGATAATTCCAAGACTCCGACATATGTCAACAGCATCACGAAACGTTTTCGATAGTTGATCCAAGGGCACTTCCGTCTTGAAACCGGCAATGGTTTGTGTCGTCGTCTTGACGATCTTGATCTTGCCCCAGCAATGGCTCAAGCACGCGTAGCGTAGTTTCTGCCTTAGATGCTCCCGAAGAACCAAAGTCCCGTTACTCAGGTCGAGCAGTCGCTTTGGGCAAATGAACGAGGCAGATGAATCATGAATCTGCGACTGACAACTTGGGTGTATATCTATACAATCCGTTATCCAGGACTGGATCGTGGTGGTTGTAGTCTGAAATTCTGTAGTCCTAGGGAAAGTACCTAGACGCAGCGGTGTAATGCCCAACTCAGTGTTTTCAACCCCTGTAAGAATAATGAGTGAATGAGCAAAACGCTTCCAATGATCTGGCCAGGATAAAGCGATGTCTGGAGGAGATATGTAGGTCTAAAGCAGACAAGCAAAGGGAGATGATAGACTTGCCGTTCTGGTTGAAAATCTCTAGCATGATCTCTCCGGCAGACCACTCAAATTTGACGTAGCCGCGGGAAGGAGTCGTGACTTTCTTTATGTCGCCAACTTTGAGATGTGTTGCACCTCCTCTGATACACTTCAATACAAACGTGCACCGAGGACAATCGGCTTCCGCTGCCTGCACTAGCTCATCATATGTACAGCCTTGATCTCCATGATCGGGAGATGCTGGAAGGACACAAGTAAGACAGGCCATTCGCTACTAAAGAGATGGCAAGTTGGTTTGTACTGAAGAGATTACCCTCTCGTCTGAGGTAACGAGCCATGTCGATGCCGATTGCAAATCTGTACTATCACGGAAAACGGTCATTTTTAACTACATCAGGCTGGCAGATTCCGACACAACCTCTCCAGTTCGATGGAAGTCAGCTGACCTTTTCCCATTATGCGCTTCGGTGCGGGGTAGGTGGGCAGATGCCATGGATGAGCCTCATTTCGACGGTCAGCCTGCAATGGTTCCCGTCAACCAACGGAGCATTCGTTGCTGTCTCGAGACAATGGTCTACCCTATAGCTAGCAGCTTAAGCCTCATTTTGATAATGAGCTTGCAAAGATTCTCGTCAAACTACAGAGAGCTTGTTGGCATTCTCTTTACTAGGGGTATACCCTTCAGGCAGCACCTGACTACTTAGATCTAGGGTTCTACTTGTCAATAATGCGGTAGGATGAGTAGCCTCTGTATGTCATCTAGCTCTTGGCATTAGTTAAAGCTCGTTGGGTATTTGCTTAAGTAATTCTGATGTAAACGTAGGGTCCTTTTTGCAAGAGTTACGATGTTATGGTTATGCAAAGTGGGTTCAGCTTTCTGTCAGAAGCAGAAAACTCCGCCGTCAACTATCTTCTGGATAGACTGTCAAACTTGCTTTTCCGGGTTTCTCATCCTAAGTAGGTCTTTCAAAAGCTCCTTGAGATAAGATTGACCGACTAGCATCGTTATAGCCCGCTGCTATCCCTCGGCTGATCAATTAAGACATAAAATTATGGTCCAAAAGTCTCTGGACACCTAACAGTGCTATATATTAAATCCACTAACTATTTTATAT